GAGAATCGGTTGCAGCGATCATTGTTCCATCAGGAGACCATTTTGCATCAAAAACCGCACCATTTCCTTGTCCCTCGATAAAATTTTGAAAGCAAGCCACTGGTTCTGTATTTAGAACATCCCATATAATGAGCTGTCCATCGTGACCGGCACTTAATATAACACGAGGATCTATCGGATGAGATTCCAGTACAAACACCTCATCTTTATGACGGCGAAGGACTTTTATTAATTCTCCCGATTTTGAGTTCCACACTTTCAATGAACTATCATTTACAGCGGTAATTACCCATTCGTCACTTACGTCCCAACAAACCATAGTAACTTTAGCCTTCTTATTTGTGTCTTCGTCCGTTTCTGGCTCTCTACAAAATTAAATATTCGTAATAAATATATACATCTGTGTATATACGTGTATATATATATATATATATATATATATATATATATATATGTATGTATGTATGTAATGTAAGAGCTTTATCGAATAAACCTTTCTTATGGTTTATTTACCCGGGGAGTCTTGTGGTCATAAGAAGACGTTTATGCACCCACTGCTGTTGTTCAAAATTCCATACATTTGCAGTACCATCTTTAGATCCAGAAATAAATCTTAAACCACTGTGAGCCCATTGAATACTATCAACGGTATCAGAATGTGCCTCTACTTCTAAAACTCTACGTGGTCCTTCGTCCCCTAACATTGCATAAACTCTCACATGGTGATCGGCTGAGCCTGCTGCCATGAAAGCTCCACCAGGACTAAACGATGCACATATCATTTGAGCTTGACCAGGTCTCATTTTTTCATGATATTGAATCGGCTTAGGTCTAAAAATTATATTAACCACATTTAATCATATTTGTCAATTAATAATTGATCTACCGTATACAATTGCTGACTTACTGAAATATTGCTCTTTCTTTTGGCTTTTTTGTATGAGACCAGAATGCAACTGAACCATCTGTACTGGTGGATACCATATAATAAACACCATTACAAGAAATAGGACAGAAGTTAATAGATGTTATCATACCAGAGTGTCCAGACAAAACAGCCACCTTAAAACATTAATATAAATTTAAGTCAAAGACTTAAATCACTTATAAGATAAATAAGATGAAATTAATATTATAAATAAAATTTTTCTAATAACTCTATTATATATTACATACAGGAGACATAGTTTGAAAACACCAGACTCTAAGTATCCGATCTAAACTGCCAGCTGCGAGTAACGTGTTATCGAAGTTTATTGCTATATCCATAATCTCGGCTGAAGCACCTCGAAATGTAGCTAATAGCCGACCATCTATAGAACTCCATACTTTAACAAGCAAATCATCTGCACCAGTTACTATGTATTTTCCCGTTCGATCATACAAAACGCAATAAACTGCTGATAAATGTCCTAATGTATGTCGATAAAGTTGCATTTTACTATAAAATTTGGTTGGTATTGCTTCTTGACGACTCATAGGACCTGAGTTTTCTCTTCCTTGAAGAACACGCACTGATAGAAAAATAATATACACGTTATAAGATACTATCAAGATAAAAGAATAAATCTAAATTTTTAATTGTAATGAATATATAAAATATGACAAAGCTTATTGCTTACCTATATTAGTCACTGATAAACTATAAGGAAGATCCATAAAAGGTTTTCCTCCTAATCTTCCAGAACAAGCAACGATACCACGTGTTCGACGGGATAGATCTGCCATATAAGAATATTTATTTAATAAAATATTTTTTTTTTTTTTTTTTTTTTTTTTTTTTTTTTTTTTTTTTTTTTTTTTTTTTTTTTTTTTTTTTTTAATATATACAGGGTGGTAGATACCTTCAACAGTAGTAGTGAAAAAATAAGTCGAAAATTGTAGAGTACAGTTTTTGCGTAGAAGGTGACATTTCAAAAAAAAAAAAAAAAAAAAAAAAAAAAAAAAAAAAAAAAAAAAAAAAAAAAAAAAAAAAAAAAAAAAAAAAAAAAAAAAAAAAAAAATTGTACTCTAGAATTTTCGACTCTCTGCTCGGTTGTATCACTATTGCCAGAACGCTCTGGATAATATATCATATGTAAAATTAATGTATACCTTCGTGCGTACGTAATAAAGATTGTCTGCCAGCTCCAAGTAATGATATAACTCCTGGAATACATGGCGGTACCTCTTTTTCTAAAACCGGACCTATTCTTGCACATATTTGCAGCAAGTATTGCGGTCCTATGTGAGGATATTTCTTTTCCTGTTGATAATAATTGATTTGAATATTGTATTTGAAACAAATTGTTCTTTAAACTGAAAATTCATATCTTAAGAGTTTATAGAATGAGTAGACTATACTTCTTAATTATATAAAGAATTAAATTTTTATAATGTTTAATAATCGTTAATGAATAAAATTATAATTGTCTTTTAAATTGAAAAGCTTCTTATAATAATTTTGAAATAAAGTGACATTAACGAATAAAAAGATCGATTAAATCACGTCATTTTGGAAAAGGATAAATGACTTGAAAAAAAAAAAAAAACGATTATCGATAGTTCCCGCCAATATTTAAAATGTATTGTAAAGTAGTGCCTGGTATTAACCAATGAGCGCTCGAAAGAAGGAAGACATCCAATCTTGGCGTAGCACTCGTGCACGAGATCAAGTTCTATAAATAAGCCGTAGGCACGTATATTCATTGATCAGCTCACGCAAGATGGCTCAAAGCAAGCGACCATTGGCACAGGGAACAAAGTAGTGGGGAGAATCTTCCGCAATGGCGACGCTAACTCTAAAAGAATGGACGAGGAGTGGGATGGAAAAGGGGGTAGCGCCCCTCAGAAAGGGATGCACGTACTTCGATATTATTTCGGCCAACGATTTAACGACGACAGAGCTAAGGCACATATACGATGCGACGCGGTAACCTTAAATCTAGGCCCTTTGACCGGGCGATTAGAGAGACTGATCTAATGAAAATCAAAGTCGCGTAATAACGATGATGCTCGCTGTAATGTCGATGCACTCTTACCAATTCTTGGAAACTTTGGCTATGCACATTTCCCTCCCAATCGAGTCTTTCTGGTAAAACCTGAAAGGAGAAAAAGAAAATATGACGAGAATCGATCGATCATCGGATCGATAAGGTCGTACGAAGTGATTAATTTATGAAGAAAAATCAAGATCATCGACCCTGCAATTCTAATGTTTTGACAAGCAGAAACCACGTGCAAACCATGTGGGAGACGATTGCTATGTATAGTGTCAGTCCGGCAAAACGTCAACTCCGGACCAATCTCGTCTTACCTTCGCTCGCTCCAAATCGCGCTTCAGCGTCTGAAACAAACATACACGTTCTTTCGTTACGTTCGTCGCGTCGACGATAGCTCGACGTTAAATTCGATCGAATACTCACCGTAGCAGCCTCGTGACATGGCCCTGCCGCGAGAAATTTTGCTATCAAGAAGTAGAGCTCTGAAAAGAACGAGTGAACGGCGATTAGAGGGGAACGAAGCGCACACACACGGCCACGGTTAGGCGGCTTTGCCGACGGTTATGCTCGCTTATCGCATCTCAATCGTTACCTGGTGCTATAGCAGACTCGTTTCTCGATACACTGGCATCCATTTCGTATGGCGAATCCATCGTTATTCACTCACGGACGTAAAGAAAGATTTATTTTTTTCGGGTCATAGCGTGGCGATAACCATTTCGGATTTCATTTTCTCTCGCGAGATCTCGACCGCGAGACGCACACGCACGCTCACCTCCTCGACGGAAAGTAGTACCCCCGCCTCCTCGACTTCCCCTCTATGCCTCTCGTCCCTTCCACTCCAACTGACGAATAGCAAAGCAGCTATCCAGGGATGTATTTCTTATCCTTCGAGACCCTCACCTTCCTTATCGCCTTTTTTTTTCTTTTCTATTTTTTTTTTCTTTTTTTCTTTTTTCTTTATCTTTTTTTGTTTTCTTTCTTTACTCATTTACGATCAGATCTTTCTTTCACCTTCATGATCCTGTGTTTTTCGCTAAGTTCCTTGCAGCTCGTGCGACTCTTTTTAACCATATTTTCAACATTTCTCTTCCCTTTGTGATAAACAATAATTACGGACGAAGGATATATACTCGTATACACATACACGGTGATTTTTGTGTGGATGTGCTCATGCTATTTACACATAGTAGTGTAAACGCTTGCAAGATAGATTATTGGGCTAAACATCTCGCGATATGGGTAATGTTTTGATACATTAGCGTGCACTCATTTCTAAATGATTTACAAATAACATAATCCATATGCGTTTTCTATGGATTTATACGACGTTTCATGTCCTTTTATTAAATTTGACGATTAAAAGAGAAAGTAAATGAAGAAGAAGAAAAAAACTTTTTTTCGTTCATTAAATTACCCTATTTCGTCTTACGTCCAATTTATTGTGCAATGCCAACTTCTATGACCGAGGTTCTTCGATTGACGCCATTATTTTAAAAACGAAAACTTTCGAAAGATATTCATATGAAATCATAGTACAATACCGCACGGATCGAAAGATCGAAAAGATAAAAACATTAATTTTAATACTAAAGTAGGTGAATATATGTCCAATAATACATCAACATCTATAACAATTAAGTGACACATTTCACAATATCATTGACTGTGCTTCGTCATTGATAAAGCGAAAACACGAAAATAAATATTGAGATGGAAATAATTATTTTGTTATACAAAAAAAATTAATAATTTTAGAAAGATGACATTAATATAATCCAGTCTGTGCTTGATACGTAATTATTACGTGAGGTTACTTTAGGTTAGATTTATAACTATGTACGTGTACATGTATTTAAAACGTGCACTTTTTCGTTGGTAAGAAAGAAAAATGAAAATAAAATAATGAAAAACTCGATAATAAAAGAATGAAAAACTTTATAATCAATTATATGTTTCTTAATGTAAATCAGAAGTGCATACGTACTATTCTTGTTACATATATATATATGTATATATATATATATGTGTGTGTGTATATATTTTACCATTTGATTTTAGAAAAGAAATAAACAAATTATACTAATGTAAATTATAATAATTTGGATAAAGTATACGATCATTATACTCGTTATACCTTATTAGAAACATTTTTGCTGAAAAGTGTTATATCATTAATGACGTAATCCTTTCCCTCTGAAAACGTGAAAAAATGATTAGGCGATTAATGTTATACCAGACTATTGTCACTCATGACAAACAATTATTTAACCTTTTTTGTTACCGCGTAATACTTTGCCTCGACTACAATTATAATTTGATTGTAATTTGATGTTAATCCGCTTAGACGTGTCGATCATCTTTGCACGATTAAGAATTGTAGAAGGTAAAAGAAAAAAAGAAAAAGAAAAAGAAAAAAAAAAATCATTATGAGGTAGATATTCAAGATGGTTGCTGCGAAACTTGAAACAAACTCGAAATCGTACATGTTGCGCGTGATCATTTGCGGAGCTCTTCTCGTTTCCCAAGATGTTTCAATGAAATTAATAATGAATCAATGCGATTTAATGCGAAATATAAAAGGCGATTTATAGTCGAACGTTTTGTATATTCAAAATGTCTTTATATTCTATGATGATGCAAGTATTTAATGAACTTACGAAAAGGCTGATCGAAGATGTGTCGATAGGATAAAATTTGGTGTAAAAATTTCTGCTAATTAATGTGTATTATATCATTTGATAAAATTTCATAATTCACAAATTAAATTTTGCATAAGTGATCACATGAATATCATTAATTTTTTTCTATTCGACATTGAAAGAAATAGTGTAAAATTGTTTATGATAACGTACTTTTAAGTAAAAATTGGACTGACTTATCTATAATAAACGTAATCAACTGTCTCTAAATGAGACTTTAGTTGATAGTGTAACCTTTAAAAGTTTCTTCCAACAGTGTCGACAATTTTAGTGTCTTACAAAAACTATTCAGGTACTTGCATGCAACAAATAATTTTGTTAAATAAATTAAATGTTCAGCTTTTATTACGTGTTTCAAATTATTAAATTATTTAATTTAGCAAAATAATAATGTTTGTGATTTAAGATTCAAAAACATACCATGTCTTGGATAAGAGAAAGTACGTTAAATTGTCTTCAGTACTTAGCTGTAAAGATTTTAAAAAGTGGTCAAATTCCTAAACATGTAGCATTTATTATGGATGGAAATAGAAGATATGCTAATAAAAATCATCTTGAAAAGATAAGTGGACACACGCAAGGGTATGCATATGTTATAAGAAAAAACATTAAATTATATATTGTATTAATGAAATAATTCATCTAATTTTTATGAATAATTAGGTTTCACAAATTAGCAGAAACTCTACAGTGGTGTTTAGACCTTGGTATTCCAGAAGTAACAGTTTATGCATTTAGTATAGAAAATTTTAAAAGGTCCAAGGAAGAGGTCAGTGGACTTATGGAACTTGCTAGACAAAAATTTCAAAGTTTGTTAGATGAGAAGTAATTATCTTCTTTTTTTTTTATATACATATATATATATATATATATATATATAATATTTCTAATACCGTTAGGATTGATGATTATTCCATTGAAATTATTATGAAGCGCAATTTAGAAATGTTTTGTTATCTTTAGAGAAAAGTTGATGGAACACGGTATATGCGTGCGTATTATAGGAAATTTAGAATTACTTCCGGAGGATCTACGTAAATTAGTGGCAGAAGCTATAGTCATTACCAAAAATAATAATAAAGCATTCCTTAATATTGCCTTTGCTTATACATGTAAGTATATGTTATTACTTATCAAGAAGAGTAATTCGTTTCAACAGTGTGTTACTTATAATTTGTTTAGCAAGAGACGAAATGACACATGCAATTAAAGATATATTAAGAGGTATTAATGACGCGGATCTTCTACCAGAAGATATAAACGAAGATCTTATTTCTAAGTGTTTGTACACTTATAATTCCCCAAATCCTGATTTACTTATTCGTACTTCTGGAGAAATTCGTCTTAGTGATTTTCTTATATGGCAGGTAAACTCTACAGACGTCGTATTATTATCATCTTATTTTATTTATTAAGTATTCCATGATCATCCAAATGTTTGCAGGTTAGTAACAGTTGCATCTATTTCGTTGATGTATTATGGCCTGAATTCAGTGCTTGGGATTTACTTGGTGCAATCTTTTATTATCAAAGATGTTATACAAATTTACAAACTATTGCAAAAGCACAAAATATAACTAATTATAATAGCAGAGTTACTAATTATCTTAATAAATTATATCACGAACGACAGACTATGCTGCAAAATATATGTGCTTCAGAAATTCTAGCATACAATGGAAATAAATGATCCAAAAATAGAGTATATACAATTATCCACCAAAAATATAATTATACAGAGGAACAAAAAAAAAATATGTTTTTCATCTTATTTATTTTCCTTATAACTATTTTGTTGATATTTGTATTTATTTTTATTCAATTTTTTTCTCAAAAATCTTTAATCACGCAATATATACGTTTTATTTATTTGTGATTTTATGATCAAATATCTGTATAATGGGAAATAATATTAATAGAGAATTACAAAAAATTATAGCCAGGTAATAAATTGACAATTACAATTGGTTAGTCATGTGTATAAATAAATGTTAATACGATCTTAAATAACTTTTAGCATATATGTACACAACTGCGTAAAACTAAAAACTCAGGGATGTATTAATGTAAAATATTACACATTACACAAAGAGATATTTTTATTATATTAGATATTAAAAACAAATTTCACTTTTCAATATGTGGTATCTTATTTCTTCAGTATTATATATGATAATAGTCGATGAAAGTGATATTTTTATATAACTTTTAATACACTGCATTTGTTCACTTTTGATAAAATTACATTCCTCAATAGTTTCGATTAATTTCTTATATTCCATAAATTTTTTAATATCTTACTTTCTTTGGATAGTATGCAAAATAATAATAATAATAATGTTTTAAATAAAACTTAATTATTATTTATGTATAATTATGGAAATCTTTTAATAATGATATACTTTGACAAAAATTCAATATTGAAAGCTCTAATACATTTGTAGTAAATATGGAAATTGTGATACTTGTACTATATAGATGGTATATTTAATTTTTAGCACAAAATGATAATATCTTATTATTAAATTTTACAATATTTACAATAAATAATTTTACATATTATGTTATATCTGTACATGTATATACATATGAATGTAATATTTATAATAAAATAAATTACATCTGTGTGTAATCTGTAAATAAATATATAAATACATTCGTATAATGTATAAATCACATAAAATAAAATTATATATTAAATCTAGTATTACGCTAAAAACTTTTCAATAAGGTATATTTTGTCTCATTTTCACTTAGAATTAAATTGCGGATAACGCCGTGCCGAGGGTTGTCTTTGCCTGGCAAGAAAGGATTGCCCTTGTCCCGAGCTAAGTGCTACAAGATGTTGATCTAATGCTTCCCTATGAGAAGACAATCCTAAACGATAAAATGCTGATATCATTAACTTTTCTTCCATTTCTCTGACCATTTTGGATTCTTTCAATGATCTTTCCATATCTTCAATTATTTTACGTTGTTCTAAAATTTGATTACGTAAGACAACAATTTCAGAAGGGGAAGAATTATTTTGCTTAGGATCTAAACTTTTTATAACACTTTTTGCTTTCTCAATGTATTTCTTATAACGTTCTTCGAGTGCTGCGTTATCATATTCACGTCGTGTCAATTTTTCTTGCAATGTAAAGGCTTTCTGTTTCTGACTCTGTAATGCATTATCTCGATCTTCAATTTGTAATACCAAACGATCTCGTTCTACTTGCGCTCTTCTCAATTCATCCTGTAATTGTGTTATTTTTTGTTGTAGCGTAATATTGTAATTTTTAACATCGGTACTAGATTGATTCCCAATTGCTTCTTCCAATTTATTTTCTAATTCAATTATCCTCTGATTAGCTTCATGATTTTGTCCTCTGAGAGTATTTAATTGTTCTTCAGAATGTTCAAGTAGCGCTTGTACGGTAGGCAATTTATCTTCATTACCTTTTTCTGTTAATTTTAATATTTTATTCTCATATTGTAAAAATAATCTCTCTTTAATGTCAAACGGAATCATTTCTGTACTATCTACCGCATCATCTGATACAGGCTTAGAAACATTTTCTGCTGCTTGTAATTGCGTACACTTTAATTCCTCATTTGTTTCTTTCAAAGCATCTCGTTCTATGATTAATCTATCTCTTTCTCTTTGGACGGAACTCAATTTTGCCTCCATCTTTTTCCCTTGAAATTCGAGTCGATCACATTTATTACTTTGTTCATCTAACTTGTGACTAACTTCTGCAAGTTGCTGTTTACACAGTTCCAAATGATTGCGCAACATCCCAGCACGTTTTATCTCCTCCTCATAATCAATCTTGGCTTGTAAGTATTCCATATTTTTTTCTTCTAAAATTTTTACCTGTCGCCTCAGATCGCTCAGATCTTCCATCTTTTTTTTGTAAGAATCTATAGTAAGTTCGTACTTTGCTACTTTGTCTGCCGTTTCGCGTAATGCATCTACTTCATCTTTTAGGATATTAGCTTCGTCCGCTGATTTTTGTAAATCTTCTTGCTTAGTCTGCAATTCTAATACTTCTTTCTCTAGCAGTTCTATCTTTAATCTATAATCATCCCTAGAGGTCTCCAATTTAAATACTTCATCTTTGAGAGCTTCTACCTGTTTTCGAAGACTAGAATATTTTAAAATAGAACCTGAATCTTCAGGATTTTCAAATTCGTCTAATCTTTCTTGAAGTTTCTTATTTTCAGCGATTAATCCTACTTTTTCTTCCTGAAGAAGAGAAAGTTGTTGATCAAGTTCATGGCATCTTTGTTCTAATTGTTCTTTCATATCAACTGCTATTTGCAATTCTGACAATAATCTTTGTTGAGCACCATCCGTTGCGTCTAATGATTCAAAGTTAAGACTGGTGCCCAAGCTTAATCTAGGACCATGCATACTACTTTCCAATGTCTGAATACTTTGCATTATAGCTTGTTGCACGGACTCCTCCATACTCATAATTCTTGTTATATATTGTTGCTTCTGATTGCAGTTTACAGCACACCCAAGAATAAGTTGCAATAAACGACATAATTCGTCTCTGTCGCAGTGCTCTCCAATCTTACCAGCATCCGGCTTTACATAGCCTGACAATTGTTGATTCAAACACTCTATATAATATTCCATGACAGCTTCAATAATTTTTTTAAGATTACTGACTTTGAGACGCCAATTAGAATTAACATCTGTCTTAATTTTTGCCCGCCAAACTGCTGTAAACCATTCTGGTGCTATTTGAGCTAGAACTTCGGCCAACGCAACACCATCACTTATATCTTCTAGCGATGAATGAGCAGCTTGAAGATCAAAGGTATCTAACCATTTGATCAAACAAATTATCTGCTGATCACCCATCTTACAGGACAACTATCCAATAAAACGTAATCCTTGGAAATCCTTACTGTATGTTTAGTGCAAATGAATTATTCCATATGTATTGAAAACACAACATACATATAATAAATAATAACACGAAGGAGAAGCAATTTATTCGCTGTATATATAGTAAAAAGTCTTGACATAGATCTATGTTATAGATAATGAATGTTTGATATCAAACAGATACAAAAAAAAAAAATAGAAAACAATAGAAATAAAAGATAAACTTTACTATTTGTTTAACTTATTAAAAAATGTACTGCACGTCATCTTTAGAACAGCAAACGTTCAGACAGGCAACGTGTATCGAAGCACAGTGCAAAACCAAAACACTGTTACCATATTTTTCCCATAAAAATTTCTTGAATTCTTTATATCTGAAAAGTTCTTCAATAAAATGGCCATAAATTTTTTAACCAAAAATTAATATGATTTAGTTATAAAATAAATAAATGCTAATTGAAATTTTAAAACAATTTCATTTGTCACAACATTATGGATCGAAGTAGCGTATCTTTTTATAGCTAGGTATATTAATCAATCTTAACGTGGCAGCAATGGCATGTTTAACCGTCGTAATAATTGTTCTTTGTTTAAAAAGTTTACTAACATCCATTATCATTGTACGATAAAAATAACGTATCTTAACGTATATCGAGTAACTGATTTAAAAAAAGAAGAAGAAAAAAAAAAGGAATCATGTTACAACTCTTTAATCATTATTTAGTTCTATGACATGGAAGAAATAGAATCTATAAAAGTGTTATTACAGAAAAGAAGAAATATTTATCATGAAAAGTACGAAAATGATACGAAAAAACAGATAGAGGAACATAATAATTTAATGAAGCAATTGACAACTTTACGAGGTAATTGAAGTTTGTTTTTTCTTTTTTTATTGAATAAGGTAACAAACGTTTTTTTTAACATTTTTCCTGTAGTATGATATAGGATAATGACTCATATTTATGTGTTTTCAGAAGAAAGTGTGCAATGTCAAGAAACCATCGGTAAGAACTGCATTAATTTAATTACAAATGAAAATGCAGTAAAGAAATTATTATATGATTCAAAACATGTACCGGGTTTACCAATATCTCATGACTGTCATCAGTATGTTTAATGCTATTACGTATAATTTTTATTACAAAAGTATCTTTCTTCGATATTTATATATATTATAACATTGTGTGTTTAGACAATCCATAGAATTTTTCTCAAGTGCTTTAGACTTTCTAAATAACTTTCAAGCTTCTGACGGACCTTTAGAAATCTTACAAAAGGATAATGTTGATACTGATAAATTAAATAATGATATTGTAAGTAAAAATATATTAGTCATATAAACATAAGTCTATCATTATATTTATTTTGATTTTGTAGGTAGCATGTACCAACCATATAAGCAATGAATTTTATAAAGCAAAATCTGCATTTCTGCATGTAGAAAAAGTCAGAAATAATATTGAAGTTCTATGTGATTTTGGCTCTATTTCTGATGGTAAGTTTTTCCTTTCATACTTTTTTTTTTTTTTTTTACGAATGTAATCATGTACAAAAATATTTATATATAATTGTGTATATATAATAATTTTATATCATATATCTACATATACTTATATAATATACTTTTTATATTTTTGGGGATTTTTATTAGATGAAAATGCAGAGTTAAGTGCATCTGATTCATAATCTATTGACCTCATATGCAAGGTATGTAATTTTTCTAATAAATGAATGGACATAATATTTGTACACAATTATGTTTGATGTTTTATTAAATACCCATTGTTTCAAGGCATTTATTGGTGATATCTAGCTGATTATCCAAATTTAATTTTAGCATTATTAATTGAGGATCAATAGTATTCTGAAACATTCAAACAATAACAAATTATTAATTTTTTTAGTATTTTCTAAAAGGGCTTTTTAATATTTTAATAACTCAGTAACTGTTACCATGTAAGATGGTATAACTTGTGAAGTAGGAAGTTCTGATAAAACTGCTAGATCCTCTTCGTACATAGAATGAATATTTATTTTGACGTCTTTTACTGGTTTTTCTGTTTGAGAAGTTCTTAATGCTAATCTTTCTCTATCATAAAAGTGGTATAATTTTTAATTTTATTAATTGCATGACTTTTGTAACTTTATTTTAACTGAGACATGTACTTCAATATTTACCTTGCTAAATGTAGTTTCTCTGAAGCAACTTTAGTTTCTCTTTGTGCTAATGCTTCAAGTTGCAATTGTAACTGACCAAGTCTTTCCTTATGCTGATCATCAATTTGATGTGCTTGTTTTAATGCCTTTATTCCTTCATCTCTTTTTGTTAATGCGGACTATTCAGCAATATATACAGTATATTAATATAAAAAAATATTTTTATTTTATATTTATTTTTTTCTAATTAATAAGTATAATATCTTTCACCTGTGTTAAGTTTTCAAGCTCTTTAGCACGCAGTATAAGTTCATTTTCTTTTCCTTGAATCTGATACTGTTGTATTTCGAGTTCTCTCATTTTTTCTTGCCATTTCAGTCTCTCCTGATTAGCGCGATTATTTGCACTTTGAGCAGCTTTTATAGCAGCTTCTAACTACAAATAAAAAATTAATAATATTTGTAAAATGTAAATACATTTTAATACATCTTCCAATACCTCTGCCTTTGCCATATCATCACATTTTAATCTATCAAAAACTTCTAATTTTGCACGTTCAGTTACAACTGCTTCTCTTTCTCGTGCAATTGCTTCTAATTGTCTCTCTTGTTCTTTTATCCATGCATCCTTTAAACTCTACAAGCATTACATATTTATAATCGTACGTACATAAAAAGGAATTGAATTATGTTTGAAAGTATATTATTATACCTCTAAATGTTTATGTTCCCAAATTACTTTTTGTTCAAATATTTCTCTTTCTCTTGTTAATGTTTGCTCTTTTGTTTTAAGCCTTTCTTCTGCCTCATCATATTGTAGGCTTCGTTTTTGAATATCCGACGTAAGCTGTACAAATTGTAATTCAAGCTTTTTCATTGACTCAACAATTTCTTTACGTTCTTGCTCCAAGATTCCCTTTTCCCTTTCCGTACTTTGTCTTTCTGCTATAGTTATTTGTAAAAAGTCATAAAATAAATGTAAAGAGGTATTATTATAAAATTATTATTAATATAAATTTGTTTATTTGACTTTATTTTAAAGCATACCTTCCAAATATTCTTTTTCTAATTTCAAATATTCGTCTTTTGTTTTATCAATTTTTTCGTCCTTTTTTTGTAATTTTTCGTGTACAGTTATTATATCGGTGATTAAAATACTAGTTTTATGCAACATCTCTTCCATATCTGATTTCAGAGTTGTTACAGCTGTTATTGCTAAATTTTCACATTCTTTAGCTCTAGATATATTTTCAAGAGTTTGCGAATGTTCCTTTTGCAAAATATTTATATTGATAGTATGTCTTTCACAAATTTCTTGAATGGACTTTACATGTTCTTTCTAGAAATATATAAATTAATTATTGTTTGTGTTAGAATCCATGGAATTAATAAGATTTAACATTACTTTTAAATTTTCTATTTCTTCTTTATACGCCATTTCTATTTGTATTTTCTCTGCCTTAATTTTCTCAATTTGTAATTCATACTCATTTTGTAAAGTTACAATTTCATGACGAAATCTCTTTTCAAGTTTGTCCATTGTTTCTTGAAGGAATGTAATCTGCCTTTTACAAGAAGAAAATAACATATATATATATATACATATGTACACAAAATATATGTATTTCTAACATTTCATTAAATTTTATTTAAAATACTTATTTGTATGAATCTTCATGAATTATTAATTCATATTCATGTCTTTCATTTAAGCCTTTCAGTGTATTTTCCAGATATAACTTTTCGGATTCTAGTTTGTCTACAGACTTCTCTAAAATAACTTTGTCATCTTTCTCTTCTTTAGTATTCTCTGTAGTTTGATTCATTGAAAAATTTATGGGTATTGGTAAAGATGTGGGTTGAGCCATCAATGTCTTAAATATGAAAACAATAGAAAGAAATCAAATATGGAGATAGATTAAAATTTATGTATCATTTTTAATAATTATTTGTAATTTCTTTAAATATGGAGTACATATATATCACCTACCTGAATATAACGATTAATACGCTCTTGTTGTTGTTTCATTTGTGCTTCAAGCAAGATTTGCCTGTCCATTTGTTTTTTAATAAGCATGTTAAATTGTTTTTCTTGTTCAGTTAATTTGTATTTTTGAGTCTCTATTAATTTACTTAATTGATCGTTCTGATGAGATAAAGTTGTAGCTGTTCTTAGTTCATGTTCTTGCTGTTGCATAGTCATAATTGCTGCATGTTGATCAAACTGTGTACTAATTAGTATCGGTAACTCCTCATGCTGTACGATTCTATTATTCATGTCATCGTTATTTGTCTCTATTGCATTGCTTGTGGTGTAATTATGACGTTGTATCTGAGAATTTTCAAAAGACTGCTTTTGTTGCATAATATCTTGTTCTATATTATGCAATGATGATTGTTCAACTTCCTGTAACTTTTTATTATCCGACATCTTTGTTCCACCTAGCCATTCCGGTAGATCTTGATTTGCTGATTTCTTTTTATTTGTATCTTCAGCAGTTTCAGCTTTTTTGGATATCTTTATAATTAAAAACAATTTATTAGCCTAATAATATAGATGTATATTAATAATATTTAAAGACAAAACTTAAAATAAGATTACCAATTCTGCTGTATATTCGGTTTGAGATGAGGTAAGTAAGCCTAAAGGATCATGAATTATACTGGCGCTTTTTCTTCCCCTACGAGATTCTCTAGAAGCAGAAACAGTAGGGGCGTATCCAAGCATTGTAGATTTAACTGGATTATCTTCTTTAATAACATCTGTTGCGTATTCTGTAATAGTTTTTGTACCGAAACTATCAAGAGTCTGTTGAGAGTTGATATTCTGGATAGACGTCGAATGTTGTCTGTTTCCAAATAAGTCTTCTATTAATAATGATTTCTGTGATTTACCAGTTGCTGATTTCAATTTATTAAGAGAACTCGCTGTAGTACCATCGTTAATATAAGAAGTACTCTGCGTTTTATGTATATTGATTTGCTTCAATGGCTTGTTTTCAGAAATTATGGATTCATCTTTCAAATCTAATTGACTATCTTGATTTAATGGACTTTTTACCAAGTTAATGTTATCCGTACTTACATCCGACAGTGGATGTATAGGTTTATCGCTTGATCTGATACTGGACGCAGAACTGGTTATAGTTTTTATACCAAATAAACTTTCCATTAAAGTACTTTTAGTATTTTGTGTAATTACATTCTTTTGCTTTAATGGTATTTCTTCTTCATCTGATATTAAATCTGCTAAAGGATCTTCTTTATTGAAATCTGTGAAAAACCAAAATTTTTATTTTCAATATATGTTTAGAACAAAGTATTTAATATGATTCAAACCTTTGAATAGAACCTTTTTCTTGATATCTGTATCATTTAATAATGTAGAATCTTCAGTATTTATTTTAGTACGACTTGATTTTTTAAATGAACTATTAAGTAAACTGTTATCTAGATTGTCGATATCTTCTACTATACGTGCAATTTCTTCCGGATTTATATCTGAATCATCAGAAAGATCAGCCATCTGTAGAAAATATAAAGATTTCTTGTTACTGAGTAAATTTTAATAATGAATTATTAGATTACATTTATAAAATAAAATTTATCTTTATATTGTAATTACCAACAGCAAAGTTTACCTCGTAGAGAGTAAGTATAAAATTACTAAAACAGATTATTAAAGAAAATCAGAGAAAAATGTAATAACTGAGTAATACATAACATTACTCGATATCGAGTATACATGTGGTATTCATGTTTGACGGTCAGGTAAAGCTATCGCATTCGGATAATAGCGTCTGTTTACATACACGATCAGCTGTGTCATCACCATGGTAACAAAATTGCGACGCCCCTAATATACGATGATTGGTTAGCTGAGAGTCACGTGACGCTAAAAGGGAAGCGAATCATTTGAGAAAGCATGACGTGACGTGGGTAATCATATGTTCATCTGCAATATAGTTCGTTGTCAGTGAAAATGGCAGACGTTATCTTTTCTCCTCGTGCATATTGTAAAATAATCTTGCACGCTGCAAAGTATCCACATTGTGCTATCAATGGTTTGTTACTTGCTAGATTAAAAAATAAAAACGATGGAAAATCCCCGGAATTACGTATCGAAGATGCAATACCGTTGTTTCATATTTGTCTGCATGTTTCGCCAATGGCGGAAATTGCACTTACCCTTGTAAGTATTTTATGAGTACTTTTTATGTAATCATTTCCTTTAAGATCATATAGGAAACATTGTATTTATTACCATCATTTAGTATCAATAGTAACGTATCAATAGTAGCGTATAATATCCATCCTAATTTAAGTGTCATATTTTGAGGTTATAATTCTCGAGCGACTTATGTTTTGATTTAAACGATATAATTAATCGTTATAGGTGGATCAGTTAGCTACGAGTAAAGGTCTAATATTGGCAGGTTATTATCTTGCAAATGAAAATATTAATGATTTAAGGTAAATATCCCTTTTGTATAGTCGCTCGTGTATGTTTATCTTTTTTGTTACTTTCTATAATAAATATATTGTTATTTTCCAATACAGTACAGACAGACCAGCTCACAGAATAGCAGATAAAATAGCAGAAAACTGTAGTGGTGCTGTACTTGTTGTGGTAGGCATAATCATGCTTATATTACAATTATATCATTACACCAGTTTTATCCTTTGCTTTTTTACTAGGTAGATAATAAAGAGATGACACTTAATATGACCTCAAGCCCGTTACGTATCTCACAATATGTTGATGGAAAATGGAAACTCAAAGACAAGTCCAAGTAGTATATTTCATAAGATATTCGTTTATAAATTATCTTTGATGTTATAAAAGGTTGCTTAATTCCTTACAGCATATTTTATGAAGGGGGAGTTGCTCCTACGGATGCGCTATATTCTTTATTGGAGGGGGAACAATATCGTAATCTTGTTGACTTCGATAATCATTTGGACAACATTACTTTGGATTGGCAAAATCATAAACTTAATAAAGTTATAGATGAAACTGTGGAGGAGCATGAATAGAAGAAACCAAAAAAGTGTTCTATTGGAAAACTATCATTTTATTTTTACCTTACACCGTATCACATCTGTATCTTATCAAATTTCGATAAAATAACAAATGTACATATGCCATAGAGTTTATAAACAGCTATTTCTTGTTTTTAGATGACGAGGTTTCTTTACTAATTCCTTTCATATAATAATTATACTTGGATCCATTAAAATAAAACTGAAAAATGTCATAATTAAAAAAATGTTGACTAAAAAGGTGGAATAATGAAGAATGCAAGGTATAAAGCCTTGGTGCCAGGAACAAATTTTTATTAATTGTCTCGTAGCTTCGATATAGTTTTTGTAATGTATCGATCGATAACGAAGTACAAGGACAATATTTTATGATAAATGAATATCATAGTCCATTTTACGGGACGTGGATGCCCCTTTGTGAAGATAGAAAAATTTTCTTTTTTTTTTTTTTTTCTCTCGAACTTATCACACACCCTTTTTCTATAAGCGTATAACGGATCGCAATACGGCTTTGGATAGATTCAGGTACAGAAATTTTTTCAAAGTTTCGTGCGATTTGTCGATTAGAGGAAGCGAAAAACTTCACTCCGTTGATTTTTATAGATTTATTATAAATGCACATGGAAAAATATTGCATGTTTTTGCTTTAACGTTTTAACTTTGTTCTGTGACTAAAAGCTAGCCAAAAGTATCTTCCAATAATATACGATATGAATTGAACTATGCAGTATTCGCAAAATTTGGCGATTTCTTTAACGATTGCACTTGCATAGTTATCTTTTTTCGAACGTTTTTTTCGGCAGATGTTAAAAAAAAATATTTCTTCAGTTTAGTCATTTCTTTTAATCCCTCCGTACACGTATTTTCTTACTTTTGTGCATGTATAATTTTGCATATCTCACTTTAAACGCGTGACATTCCAAGTAAAGTACTTCTCTCTCTCTCTCTCTCTCTCTCTCTGTTACAGTCCTGGATTTATAAAAATGTATGAAAGACGTGTACGTTATCGAATGAAAAGATTAACTTAAGATGAAATTCGAAATGGTTTAATACATGTATAGGTAAACGAACGAACGTAGGTTTTTTTCATAGTGATGGTTATGAAATCATATGTGCTAAGCTTTCTCAAATTTTATTTCTATTTCAATGATGCGAGTATAATACTTTTCAATTAACATTAGACAATTCATCGAGATGTAACACCGACGAACGATGATATGAAATGTAGTGCGTTTAAATAAGACGCATCACAGATTTTTTCGGATGTATCAAAAATACTTGAACGAATGCAACAGTGCATTTATGTCCATCTATGAATATCTAAAACGATTGACTTTGTAAGCTGATCGCATGATCGACGTATGTGTATATGTCGATATATATATGTAAAATTTTTTATATGCCCATCTCATACATATTTATAGCTATCAACAACGTATAAATTTAACGTTAAATTGTTGTTCACACAACAAAAATGTTGTTCACATTTGAGCAATTTGTTTCATATATCGCTCCCTTTCACTATAAACGATACATATAATAATCGAACAGTTTAGATTACTTCGCAGGTTGGGACGATCGTGAAATAAAATTTTAGACTTCACACTTGTACATTATAATGAATGGTATAGAGTCGTTCGAATATGCTTCATAGTCGTGTCATGGTCGTTTAGAAACACAAGATTCGAAAAAGAGATTAGATTACATTTCAGTGAAATAATTTCAAGTAGTATATTCCTCATGAGACGAGTACGATTCGAATGGAATTATTGAAAATGAACTGCATGCGTAACGTTTACATTTCTTAATAATTATGATCAGCATTTCTAAGTTAAATCATAGAATATCTTAAATAGTAATTAGCCATTTCTATGTGAGTAACAGAGTTATGTGTTAGGACGTAGCATTTAATTTTAATTCATATCGTAATTAACATTCCATATATTCAATGCATTTATTTTCCGAGAATAGATGACAACGAGAGGAGGAGAGAATAGAAAAATAAATGCAGTAGATTGAAAATTTCATGTAACATCATTAACGACGTTCTTTGTTATTTCATTAATCAGAATCGCCAAGAATTTTGAATCGCTCGATCACCGACATTATAACCAACCGTAAAAAAATAATTGATACCGTCTCACGAACGCGTACATATGTTGATTTCAAAATTTTTATCGACCAGCGATCTATTGATATAAAACAATGATACAATTTTATATAATTTCGTTATAGAAAACTTTCCTTTCCAAATGCTGCTTCTAAACTTTGATATTTTTTAATAAAAAAATCGCACGTACTTGCGTTAAATAGATATTTTCTTCTTCCGATCGATATTTCTATAAATCCTCGACACAACAATTCGTCGTTCTTTATTACAATTTCGAAATTTCATTACACACGTTTAGAAATTGCCAAAGAACACGAATAAAGTTTTCACGGAGCATCTACGTACGTAATAAATATTGCGCGCGATTAGCGCACACGAACGCATTGTAAAAAAGTAGAATATTGCAACAGTAAAATATGTTATTTTTTAGGATGTTTTGCCTGTGCTTTTGAACAAGCGGATTATTCGAAGAGCTTTTCTTAGATAAGGATGAATTTACAAGTACGAATTTTTAACACGTTTTCTTCGTTTGATTTTTTTAATATAATGGCCAATTAATTTTTCACTTGTATTAATTTTCGTTTCGACAACGAAATATTTCGATCGATAATATTTTTACGCGATTCATCGCACCGATCTACTCGCATTAATATTATATATTTACTTCAGTTAAGCCGCTTGTCCGTGAAAATATAAGAAGTATACTACAGATTCTTGTATGCTTAATGTTTGACAGACGATGGAAAACCTTCTTCGAGAATGTTACTCTTCGATTTCGAAGCGATCTGACGCATCGATATCCTACTTTCTAAATATCTATATACGGGAAAAGTCGTATATGATTTTTACGCGACAGTAATTAATTACAGAGAGATATAGTAGATGCTTTTACTTTTTTTCTTTCTTTTTTTTTCTTTCTTTTTTCGAATCGAAAGCGTATCATGAAGATTTCGCAGAAGGAATGATCCAACGTTCTTTCTAATTTTCGAAAGGCGCACAAAAATACGATTACAATTTATTGCATTTATCGTCTAGTCTATGCGATCTTTTTTTTTGGTTCCTTCAGTGTCATCGCAGCACAGTGGAATTAATTGCCCTAAATACACAGTGATTGCTTGGATAAAAACATCGCTTTACGCCGTCTTTACTTTCGCGTTCATCTTATTCACTTAGCGAATACGCAAGTTCCTATGAAAACAATAATATATTCGGTGTTATTACAAAATATTACAACTAATATAACAGCCAGTATCCAGTATTTAAATCAGTGGATACATATTTATGTATGTATTTGTTAATACGTGATTGTTAAGAACGAGAAAGTAGTCTGTATGTTTCCTCTTTAATCATTGTTTTTCTACTAAATTTATAGAAAAAAAACATTTCGATAATTGCAAACGCAACGATGAGAGACTATTTGTAAGATAAAAAGAAAAGAATTATTTAATAAATAAATTTGAGCGAGTCCTTAAAACACGCATGCCAAATTTCGTGCTACTTTTTTTTCCTCTTTTCATTATATATCAATCATTACTTGTAAATCGTGCGTGTGCTTGTGAAATATATATATATATGTATGTATGTATGTATGTATGTATGTATGTATGTATGTATGTATGTATGTATGTATGTATGTATGTATGTATGTATGTATGTATATATGTATATATGTATATATATATTTTTTTCGTTAATCTACATATAACTACGTATTATTCTCTTTGAAAACCCCTCGTAACAACGTGACACTCACCCATGTGTATATGTATATGTATATATATATATATATATATATACACATGTTATATGTATACTTTTCAGAGTGTCAACAACGATTCGCGATAAATAGCGCGATCCTGCTACAAAGCCAACAATTATTTGGACGGTTGCGAACAAAATTGGTGATGGGATAACGTGATAAAACAACATATCACACTTTGCTTCCAGAATTTCCTTCGAATTCTCATCGTATATTTACTTATCAGAAAAATTTTCTTTCGAGTAAAACTTCCTTACTTTTTTACTCGACCCATTGAGTTTTTTTTGTCTTTCGTACCGATACCACGATGATTAATGATTTTACAAACGTATAAAATCGGTCAAAGTTTTTTCTTTCCTATCAACGTATTATTAATTTCGCGAATTACCAACATAAATACTCTCGACCCGTTAAACCCGTATGATATACAAATTAGCCAGCGTTTTTCTGCCTCTTGGCCGTGGGATGTCATTTTACTCATTGACATCATATAAGGCGACTGATTAACCCAATAAGTAGTAAGTATACACCGAATTCGAGGTGAAGCGGAGATGCAGAAACGATCGCAGATTGGCGGATTATTATTAGACCTATTTTAAAAAAAGCAGTATCAGTCCTAATATTTCCCATGGTCTTACTTGACGATCGTGAAGCAGCCATCTTAAAATTAAAAAAGAAAGAGAGAGAGACAGAAGGAAAAACTTGTCAAGGAAGAGAAGAAATTCAAGACAAAACGTCTTGAATACAAGTTGAAGAGATCTGCACCGTTTCTCTCGTGGATGATGTTTCTCGACTTCATTCCAGAAGACTGAAAAGAGTGATCTTGTTGTGCTGCTACGTCATCGAGGAATGAGCTTCCGATGGTACAGGTAATTGTGGTGTTTGCCGGGAGAGTCGCCTCGGCCATCGTTGAGGCGATACCGGAGGTGTCGGCCTTGGTGTGGTCGGTGCTGATCCCGCTGTTAATCTCCAGTTACTACCGGAAAGCGTGATGGACCTGCCAACGGCAGCTAAATTCGTATTACTGCTACTGCAAGCTACGGCAGCTGATAAATCCACCCTCGAAACGGCCCTATGAATATAGATTTTCTCACATTAACGTCTTTCGATGAATTTCATTGCCATTGTACTTTTGACATGTTTATAGATAGCGACATAATTTATGAATTAATAAATCTTATATAATCGTGGGTTGCGCGTTTCATCATCGATATGAAATTTTTGTCGATTCTTTTTAATAGGCAATGCACTAATACACGCACGGTGTATCCTGTTGCCTATCATGAAGAATCAAACAAGTTTTTATCGATAGATAGCGCTCGGGAGCAACGTTATCGACGAAGTATGAAGTGCGTTCTGCTTTCAGGCGCGGGACATTAAAAAATACAAGATTGTGGATTACCTGGAGGGAGGCGCAGATCCAGTGTAAGAATGTAAACCTGCTGGACCGCTTCTTGGCCGAGTAGTAGACATAACGCTGGCTGATCTAGGTAGGGCTGGCGAGGGTGGTGCGGATGGAAGCATTCTTGGCGTTTGTGGTGGTGTTCTACCAGGTGTCAAATTTCCGGAACTACTGGAGGACGATCGTCTTCTGGGAGTCCTTTGAAAGGGAGTTGAAATTTGGTTTGTAAGTACTCTATTGTTCGACAATCAAATGGTTCAATCAATTTTTATTTCAAATGATCATACGAAGCACTTACTACTTTGACTTTATAAGCCACAATAGATAAATACAAGAATACAGGGTATTTACCTCTTGGACGGTTGACGGCAGAGACCAGTGGGACAAGGTCGGCCCATGGCACATTTGCCTTCGCAAACTTCTCGTGCTTGCACCAACGCCTCGTAATTTTTAAGAGTGGCTCTACATGCTTCCGCGTCAGATTCTGCGAGTGCGAGACTAGGAAATCGTTCCTTCAATCTTCGTCGTTCCTGTGGATCGAATTAAACGATTACGTCGTATGCAAGTTTGCAAATTTTATAAAAATTAATATTACGAGATTTATTTTTGTAAATCATATGATACGTTTCTTAGGATAATTAAAATAGAAACTTAAATCGTTCGATTTGTAAGCGAGGAAAAACTTCTTATTATGAAACTTGACTTGAAGAAAGGCGATATTATTGTATTTCCACTTCGTATTCCTTTGTATTTCCATTTTTTAAGGGGCAATTTGTAATGCAAATTCTCAATGTCTCCGTTATTCTTCGAAATATCAACAAGATTTCCTTGTATGTGAACGTACCTCCTGAAGACGGCTCGATTCAAAGTCCTCGAGCTGTTGTTGAAAGCCAGCGTTTGGGTTGGCGATAGAACGACCTACTCTCACGACCTTAAGTGCCTCCTTCCAGGATAGATTTGTGGTGCTCATGATATAGGCGACTGCGACCGTCACACTTCTCGACATGCCCGCCAGGCTAAAAGGGATAGTATCTTATCGTGCTTGTTTGCAAGTAGTTCTTTTTTTCAAATATAATTAAAAACGCACCAATGTATTAGAACATTGCCACCGCGCAAACGAGCAGCGTGGATGAAATCGTTACAGAGAGAAAAATATTGCGATAAATTCTGATCCGGCCTATCGGCGGCTAAGATGCATAAGTAATGTTTATTCTGAAAGAAAATACATCTTTCTCTTTGTTTTATTTTATTTCATAAATAATTAATACCGAAACGCTTATCATTTATCTTTAGACGATAACTTACAGAATGTAATCGACGAGCCGTGTCGTGAATCGCCAGGATATGGGTTATCTCGAACCTTTCCAGTTGATCTGCGTCCTTACTGTCCTGATAATTACCAACGTAAAGGCCGGGAAGCACCTGCACACACATTACAAAGGTAGAAATTAATAATGAATATATTAGTAGAAGTTAGCTCGTACTCGTGGCATGACATTTTTAACGACCGAACAAATGTAAATGATTTTTAAATCGCAATACATCTCTTCTCTTTATCGTCATAGTATGCGTGACACGTCGCTTCAGAATTCCCATAGATGCTATCAAAAAATATTATAAAATATTATATAATTTTAGGAAGATTAATAAGAAAAGATTAATAAGTATATATGATATACTTATCGTATATACTAGAAAAAGTTTGATGCCCTACTTCGAACTTTTTTCTTACCACAAGGCGATTTTACAAGGGTACTTGTCAAAATTTTGCCAAGAAACTTTATTAATTGACGTCTGCACGCGACGAATAATGACACATTGAAAAAAAAGAAAAAGAAAAGAAAAAAGATTTTAGATCTTTAGCGTGTTGTATATTTTTATTGATTATACCATTCGAATAAAATAATTGCGTATCGCTACGTTATCGTATAGATATATATCAGAAATCAAAATATATCAATCGTGACACGCGATCGTAAAAAAGAAAAATAGTACAGTGTTTATTGTAATGCTTTAATAATATATAAACTACGTAAAGATTTTTCACATTAGATAAATTACTAAATGTATAGGAAGGCAAAGTATGTAAATTTTCTTCTTCATAATGCACTTTTACAAAGAGCTATAGATGTGACAGTTAATTAAAAGGATTTAATGATACCTCCTTAATAAAACATATTTATAATAAATCATTATTTTTCTCATAATAGACACGATAAAATGTCTTGTTTTGTATCTCATTGCATTAGCAACGAAAGAAAATCCTTCTTTGAAGTTCGAACGATTCTTTGGAATTAAATGATATAAAAATAAGGTAGGATGTATTTGATATTTAATAAGGATGATTATGAGCGATGTGTCAATCGTTATAACAAAAAGATAATTGGACCAATTTGTGTGTGTGTGTGTGTGTGTGTGTATGTAAAATTTAAAGATCGAACGAGCATTGCGTTCGACTGGAAGTTTGCCAACGATATTCGTCAGTTAATACAATACTACATAGTATGTAATAGAAGTGTTTTGAGAACTCGTGGCTTTCGTTTTGCGCACGATACGTCAACATATTTTCGTGAACTATGTCAAAGAAATTTCAGGGTTAAAGCAAAAGGACGTCAGTGAAATTCATCGGCACGAAGGAGCTCGAACGATGCATTTATTAAAGTATCGTCGAGAGAGTGGGAATAATTAATTGGCCATAGGTTGTTCGGTTGCTTCTAATTTTTATTTTGACAAGCACTGTTTTTCTTTATATAAAAATCATGCTTCGGCCACTCGACCGTAACCGCTTTTTTCATTGATTAGATCGTCGACCCGTTTTCTCTAGCGTCCTCGTTTATTTTACAATGTATCGCACTGAACATTTTCCGCCCAAGGATATTGTATGCCTGCGACACGTAATTCCGCACCATTTTCCATCATATTTTGCGGCTGATTGCTTTACTTGTTGAACCATTGTCAGATTATTACGATTACTATAATCCAAGTCGTTTTGAAAAGCGACATATACCTAGCTTCGAAAAGTATTATCTCGTGTTACATATTTAACAATGTAATAAACAAGTTTCTCCTTCTCTCTCTCTCTCGTTGACTACTGACTCATTCACTTTCTGCTTCCTTTCCCAGAACGTTTCTGAATAAAACAGCATATTCGTAATGTATGTCCAGTTTAAAAAGCACGAGCTCGAATGTCACTTTATATTGATTTGCATTTCTTTTCAGGAGACCGACCGCGGCAGGTAGCTAATACTAATTACCTCACTTAAATGAAGCAAATGAAAAGCAACATTTTATGTAAAAGTACCTATACTTCAAAGTACAAATACTCTTGATCTTTCAACCTCCTGTATGTATATACATAGATACCTCGCTCGTATGATTTTTGTCTTTTAAAAATTAAAATTTTATTATTATCTCACCTTATTCATGCCATTCCCCATGTTGTCTACGTTGGATAAAACGCCGTCGTCCTCAACGTTATATCGTATTATAACAAGAGAGTTTATCGTCTTTAATCGCAAGAATCCGCTTCCCCAGGACTTACTTTTTTAGCCTCCCAGGGAGTCCTCAGCCCCTTTAACTCTCTCTTTCTCTCCGACGAACCGATTTGATCCTCGTTATCGCGAAGATCGCATTGTTCCTGAAGCACTATCCTCGACCAACACATCACCAACACATAAGCTCGTATTTTGCTGGCGAATCGCACGAATCGACGATATTTAATCTCTTCCCGTTTTTCTTCTTAGCCTCTTCTGAGTATTTTATGAGACGGTCGAATGTTAAAATCGAATTTTAAATTTTCGAGTTGTTCTTAATGATATCGAAAGTCTGTCGAATCGGCAGAAGCCATCTCTCCAAACTATTTTCTCTGATGGTCCTCGCGCTATCATGATTCGTCATGGGTTATTTTTCTAGCTGAGTATTGTTTCTATTTCTATCTTCTCTCTCTCTCTCTCTCTCTCTCTCTCTATGTATATGTATATATATATATATATATATCTTTCGTTCTTCGAAGCGACGCTCGGAAGGCTTGGTCGCGATCTCGGTAGCGCTTATAAATCGACTTTATGTAAGAAGAAAATTGACGAGCGAAAGAGATACATTCCGTTCACAGAGAAATTCATTCGCTGACTGGAAGCTGGAAAGCACAGGTTCAGAATTTCCTTTTGTATATCTGTCCCAACCCACCTCCCTTGCTGTAGCTATTTCCTCTCGAAGCGCTTTTTTTCAACGAGCGAGCATGATTAAAGACCAACCGTTCCTCTTCGTCCCTCTGCTTGCCTCTGTCAGATGAATGAGAAGTAAGCCAAAGTTGGAGAGAGACGAAGATAGAAAGCAAAGAAAAAATAAAAGAGAAAGAAACGCTTAGATGATCCAAAAATAAACTTTTTAATGAGAATAAAAACTTTCAGCGAAAGCATAAAAACGTTTGAGAAATTCTCCAAATTATTCGGATACCAAAGAAAAAGATTCATTGAATCCTAGAAATATCTTTTATTTTTCTTCTTTTTTGTCGTACACATATCGTGTGTAATCGAAATATCGATCCGTCTTTTCGCGTTTACCCTCCTTTTTTTTTTTCGCGAATCCACAAGAGTATTTAGCCTTTGAATAAATGTAAACGTTCGAAAGTGGCTCTTCCCAAGGGAATACACACTTATTTACAATCAACGAGGGATTTATATTTTCAGACGAAAATGTAAATAAAACTGATTGTAAACGTTTGACATAGAGATATAGTCACGAAAGACAAGAGATATAGGATCAAAGAGGCAAGAGATGAAAGCTAATGTCTGATCTAAATCCTATGAGAAAGAAGAAAAATGGAATGAAAGAGAAGAAGTGTGGACGCAAGGAATAAGAAAAAAACAAAAAGAAAAAAAAAGAACGAGTTTCATTTGAACGACGTACTGCAATAATATCGATTACAGTCAAATCGATAAAATAAATTACGCGGCATTGACGACAGACGATTTACTTGGAAACGTGCCAACCTACTTTAATTTAGCGAGATATCTTTTTCTTTACATTATGTTATATGTATATACGTATTATATGACGAGTGTTTTCACGAACGTATTGATCGTAGATATTTCCAAATTTTTCGAACTTGGAATCCGTGCTGCCGATATCTTTAGAAACTGTGCTAAAGCGTAAAGCATTGCAGGCATCGACGATGCTTGCCATAAACTTTCCTAAATTTCGAGAACCGGAAGCCCGACTTTTCGCCAATTTATTTCTATTTGCGATCTCATTTCCATGTACATATATACATATATAATTTTTAAATACGACAGGAATGTTGGCATGTGCATTGGATATTGATACGATTCGAGAAAAATTTAACATCGATCTTTGCGTAATGTATCGTGAAGAAGTAAACGTGTTTTCCTATCGTACGCCACGACACGAAATATGTTTACAAGTTTGTAGGAAGACGATTCATTTGTACAAAACCACAATAACAGCGAGTCTCTGTCGTTTTAATCATTAAAGTAATTTTTAATAATTTTTCTTTTCATTGAATTAGTCATATCTATTATTAACAAAATAAAAAAATCCATAGGTATTTAATTAAAACCATTTGCGGTGCAACGAAATGCGATAAACGGTGAAGACTTTTTAATGACGTTTAAATTGATTTTCAATCTACCGTGTACAATGAGAAAGAATCCGAGTGAAAATAAAAATAAAAAAGAGACATGATGGTACGACGAGGCTGAGCTTTACCATGCATATCACGAGTCTTCGCATCCCTGAAACCGAATGAAATTAATTATGCGACGTTAATGAGAAAATTGTAAACGGGTAATGCCATCCTTTTATAAGAAAGGATACATAAGCGGTTGCATATATTCAATCGTGATCCCGCGATACAATTTTCAAATTTAACCGAGAATTCAAATATCACGATTTTTCGTGAATGTGACTTTATTGGATAATTCGAACGTAACGAATATAGCCCGATAAAGAGATTATTTTTAAATGAATGAAAAAACTTTTTCTTTCCACAAAACGTCACGATCGAATGAATAGTCAGGGCAAAAGCAAGGGTGCCGATAACGTGTGTACAACCAGTGTTCCTTGAAAGTGATAGGTCGCATATAAACGAGACTATTTGCTAAAGATCGAAAGGATAAAGCGTCGCTGTTAAAAAATCCCTGAACGTTCGGATGATCCGTGAAATGTGCCTGACAATTGCATTCGCGCTCTTGCGATCGAGGCATCCATTTAAGTTTGTTTATTAATAATTTTGCAAATAACAAACGATACAAATTAACTTGACCAGTAAAAAGTGCCACTATATTCGTAAACGTGATGATCAGTAGTCATCATTGTGTCAATTCGAATATATCAGACATTCTTATATTCCAGTAATCAAGCGTTACTATGTTATCAACATGTTAATAATTACTGACAATGATGCGCGTATTAGTCGAATTTCATCGTCACGATTTAATAGACGTAATAACAATCTATTAAATATTCGATAGTTTTCTTGATAAATTCATAAACAAAGGTGTCAAACGTTATTTCGAATTTGTTTCAAATAAAGTGATAAAATTAGAAGCGAGAATCTCAATCCGGCCGACTTCTTTACGGTTTCACACGCCATTGCTTATTTTATCTCTCAAATGCAATCCTTCCGCGTCACGATAACGAGAAACATCACGAAATCGTTCCCCTTATCGATAAAGCGGAAGCATATAAGAAAAATTGTAAGAAATCACCCCACTGATTGATCCAGACTGGTACATATAAGAAATCACCCTGATTGATCCAGACTGGTACATGTCGAAAAGAAGAGATAGAAAAAATAGAACGGAGTTGTCCTATCACATATTTTGGCACGAAATAGGCGCACAATCATGCTCTCCTTCTTACTGGCAAAGGAAATAGAAGAAAAAGAAGAGGAAAAAGCAATGCTCCTCATTTGTCTGGTATTCACCGATCCATAAGAAGTACTTTTCCCGTCATAGATCCTGCAAATCACATCTCGTCGGCACGACACGCATCCGATGATTGACAACACACGATCCGTGCACTAATGACGGATGACGATAGAAATGGCTTAGCCGTACTTTCCTCGTTCGGTAGCTTTGATGGAAGGGCGCGTCGTGCGAAAACTATCCCGCTCACCGTATAGGAAGGAGTGTTGCGAGGATACAGGGACACTGTCAGGTTGGGAGCAGCGTAAAGGCGTCCGCGAGAGAAAGAGAGAGAGTGTCTGTGTGTGTGTGTGTGTGTGTGGGTGGGAGGGTGTGTTTGTGTGCGTCGGTAGAAGGGGAAATATCAAACCGTGAAAGGGGCAACGGCAAGGGCCACGTGGTGGGGAGGAGGTAAAGAAGAACAAATTCGCATTTTATACACGTCCTTTCTAATTTACCTTGAACGACCAAACGAATAGCAAAATCCGAAACGATTCTCGGTGAATACCAATGAAAATCATCAAATAGGAATTACATCTTTCAAAGATAAATCTTCACGATAAAAAGAAGAGAATTTTACAAATTTTCTAACACCTAAAAAAAACTTTACTAAGTAGGAAATTTATATAAGACATGAGAAGCGTTGGTCAAATCAATTAACGAGATCACGATTAACGAACCCCAATCGAATGAAATGATTATAGTCTATTGTCTAATAGGAGAGAGAGAGAGAGAGAGAGAGAGAGAGAGAGAGAGAGAGAGAAAAGAAAACTGATTAGGTCCTCGTCGCGAAGAATTTCATGTTGCCAGCGTTGGTCTGTGTCTCCGGTGGTTATGTGGTAAGTCGCAAAGTTGTGGATCGGCATACCGAACAGGTGGAGGGGTGTATAACGTGCGAAGAAACGTAGGGGTGGAGCGCTCGAGGACGGGACAAACTGTCCAACGTACATCGCTGTAGCTCGGGTTGTCCTCGCGCAGGCGCCGCTCGATAAAGAACTATCCACCCCCACTACCCTCCTTGTCCTCTATACTACCCCCGACCCTGCCCCACAAACCGTAAATCTGGTCTACTAGGGCCAGTCAACGAATACAGCTAACTGGGCTACGTTCGCAGAGTAATGGAATGCTGATAGAAAATGGGACGGCCGCTATACTCTCGCAACCTCTGAATGAACGCTCGCTATATCCTGCTCTCTTTTTCTCTCTTTTTCTCTTACACTAATATCTCTTTTTTCTTTTCTTTACAATCAATACGCGATCAGTTGTTCTTTTTCTCTTTCCATCATATATTTGCTACTTGCTAACGTAACGACGGCTCTTGGTTCTCTTCTAGATATATCTCCGTCTTTGTAAATTTTCACATGAATTCTTATCGATGAAAAGCCTTTAGGAGAGCATACATTTCTCCTTTTGTTCTAAAACCACGCGTCGATTCGATATCCGTTTAATCTCTTGACGGATTCTTAGTCGTAGATGAATACCTAGACGAACAAAAAGATTGTTTGATTCAAAGCGGCATAAATATTTCTCTTTTACTTCTATACGGTGAAAGCGATCCAATACGTATATGAAATTCGTAAGAGGTAGAGAATACTCATAAGAGAGAATTTCTTTTCTTCTCTCTTTTTCTTTTTTATTTTTGTTTTTTCTTTTTTTTCTTTTTTCCTGTCATCCTCCTCCTCTTTCTCTTCTTCCACTATTTCTATCCGGTAGCACTAGAAGCACGGAGACCCACTTTACTGTGCTAAAACAAGCGCCTCTCCATATACTTCTAGACTCATTCTCTCTTTCTTTAACTCTTTCTCGCTCCGTCACTCCTTTACTCACTCCTCGTGCTTCTTTCTGCGCATTTCATCGACGAAAAGACCGCGTATTCTATTAGATTTTAAGAGAATTACGTGACCGTATCCGTACGTAACGAAAACCTTCGTTTATTAATGTTACCTTATTATCCGTATTAATGTTACCTTATTAATCGTATGCGAAATAACATATTTTACGTGACGGATAGGTAAGCAAAAATGATCATTCTCATATATACGAGCGCTGTCATTTATTTAAAAAAAGACCGGTCGCTAATAATTTTTTAAAGAAAAGCATCGAGTCATTATAATCAATGATATAGTTCAATATAGTTCCAATTTGGAACTTAACGCTAAAGTTACAGAATAAGAATTACGAAGGAGAGATTAACGTGGAGAGGTTTCTGTCTGGCCTTTCGAGTGCGTCTCAATAAACAAGTTTCGAGGCGTGACAGCGTTTGTAAAAATATCTACGAATGCAGCTACTATCACCAACCGGCATTCTTATGCAAATAAAGTTAGCGAGAAGGTAGGATAATAATGATTGGCATGGTCGGGTTCTTTATCGGTTAAAAAGACGAAGCGTAAATACGCTAAAGTTTCGATCACTTTCCTTCCCTCCATCTTTTATCTTCGTTCTCTCGTAATGCCTCTCGTTATTGCCTCTTGGCACGTGAGACAAAATCATCGTGGATGGACGGATGCGCCGTTGATAGGCGAACAGTCCCTTGTGCATTTGTGCATGAATGCGTAACGAGTTACGCAAATCCTACGACGATGGCGTTTTGCCGCAAGGGAATTCACGATCCCTTTCTCTCTCTCTCTCTCTCTCTCTCTCTCTCTCTCTCTCTCTCTCTCTCTCTCTTTCTCTCTCTCTCTCTCTCTCTCTCTATCGTATAGGGCAGACGTGTTCACGAGCAACCCAGGCGCGATAATTATGTGAATTAAAAGTGAAAGAATATGGGTTCTCCTATTGTACCCTCGATAAAATTATCTTTTATATTATCTCTGTATAACTTGATACAATTTACATTATTAAATCAAACAGAACACCCTTGCTCATACGTTTGCTCATCTATAATTAAGTAAAGAATAAAAAAAGACGTTAAACGTGAAACGACTTTGGTTTACCTGAGTAACGATCTGAGTCACTCGTTCCTCTTACAAAGTCGACTGCAAAAATGCTTTCTGTAAATTATTGCTGTTTGAGCTTCCGCTGCTGGCTCGTAGAGTCTTCTTTGTTTGGTGTATAACAGATGAGAATCAAGCCGAGGATTACCAAGGATGCACCACACCACCAAGTTAAGGAGGTCGACTCGCCGAATATTACAAAACCGAGGAACGCCTTGAAATTAGAAGAAAAGTATTTAACGAATTAAAATTATCTATAACTGGGAAACATAAGGATAATGATAGCAAAATATGATATCCAAAAGGAATACCCTAAAAATTAATCAACGTGAGTTTAATCTTTTATTTATCTTTATTTTTATCTCTATATTATACTTGACAATTATTGAAAGTAGAAAAAATCAATTATCGAATATCGTCGGGTATGCAGTGTATCCATGACGTGTAGATCTGTAATCGCGTAACGCATATTCCGCATGCCGTTATTATGCAACAGGCAACTTGTCGACGCTCTTCACGTGAGCATCGTTTTTAAAGAGAGTACGAGTTATGTCCGACATGTCTCTCGATCGCGAATTACGAGGTGTACGAGTACTCACGTAGGAGTATCGTTGTATTATCAGATCTACGGTAATTGCCACGATCGCATTATACCGGCTCTCTCGTAGATCTCGGTGATACGTCTAGCTTGCGGAACACCTTTCACTCTTGCCAAGCTACTTCTGGGAAAACGTATCGGCACAACGCTAATGTAAGCCCGACGAATTTATTCGTACTAACTAATACATGGAACAGTGATGGTGTTTAAGAGAAGCGTGAAGAGTGGATACAGTGATTACTCTTTTATACTTTTACATCGATTTTATATAACGGTGAAGAAAAATTTCGTCCAGTTCAAAAGATTGAAGAAAATAAGGAACTACGAAGAAAGATATAACATATATATATATATATATATAGGAACAATTAGAAGACAAATATCGTATCGACGATAATTATAACTTTCCATGCGATAGTTCCTTTCCCAACGCACACTCTTATAATGAAAAATAATTTTGTTCGAATACGCGAAAAAAAAATATACAGATATCGCAGACGATTTTTAAACGAGCTTTTTAAATTGTGAACCATTGGGAAAACTAACTTTTGGATAAAAGTAAAATTTGTGATTCAGTGTGACGAGGATAGGAAAGTGAGGCTTTTATATTCGAAGAGTACCCATCAATCGTTAACGTACGAATCGAAAGCACTAGTCGAGGGTAGAGCGTGAAAAAAATCAAAGGCCTTTAAGAGACTCGTGAGCTTACTCGATGTGGAGATAAGTGCGCGATGGTATTGATAGTACGTTTATCGTTATCGACAGAAATGAGAAAACTAGAGATGGAAACTATGCCATTGTAAACAAATTAGTGCATTGATACTTTTCAAATTTACTTTGGTCTTACCACTTAGAATACTTTCGCGAAGAAAAGGCGCGATTAACACGTCGTCTGATAATATTCGTGCTAACAGTTCTCGACCGTGAACGACAAATACATCGATTACTCACCGAACAAACATAATTCATCGCTGTACTGGCAACCGTAGCAGGTAAAGAAGATTCACTTCCGTTCAGAGCTTTTACGAAGAATGTGCAGCCTATTGTGTTAGTCACGACCATGAGCACGAGGAGACTTACTTTTAGCACCATCGGTATCTTTTATCAGAAATTTTTCATTCATTTAATTTATTACTTTCATCGATCGAAAATTTAATAAAGAGAAAATATTAGCCTACAAGGTATGTAGAAAATTATATAAAAGGTAGCTTTAATATATTCAAATGTCGCGCCACTCACCAAGAAGACGAACTCAGCGCCACCGGCTAGCTTACCAAACAAGCTACCGCAGGTAGCGAGAATGCCGCTGCACACAGCCAGGTGAATCTTTGTTTCTCCTTGCTCCATGAATTTCGTCGATAGTTTAGCGTCTTTTTCTTTCACGAAATCCATCGGGCTGGGGACAATGAACAATATTTTTAAATTAATAGAAATGTAGCATAAAGTATGACCACTTGGTGGATGATGTGGCTTTATCGATCGAATAAACTTCTGTTTGTTGCATAATAATGAAAAAGAAATAGTGGGAGAAATAAAAAGAAAGTAGATATATAATGTATATAAATGATGGGAAGGAAGAAACAGTATTCAAAGTAGTAGCTTCAGAGTAAGAAAATATGTATGTATGGTATATATATGAATGGAATTAAATTGTTGGACGAATTATACATTATGAAAAAAAGCATAACAGGGGAGGATGAATAAGTGGTTAAATGTACAGTAGAGAATATGAAAGAACATAAAAGCAAAATACTTTTCTATCGAGTCTTTTCTAATCGTACAATAATGTGGAACATAAATGGCGTATACATGTTAACCCTTTCACTTGTGAAATAATGTGCTCGCTGTAGACGTTGAAAATTTTCGATGCCGACATACGGACCGCTAACGATGTACGATACGCAGTTTGTATTTGATCGTCAGTTTATCAATGGCGTATATATATGCCTTCTTATTTAAGCGTTCACTCTTAAAAAGGCATATGTACGCCATTCGGAGCGAAAGGATTAATTGTATATGTTTAACTCGTTAGTATTATTAATTTTTTTCTATTAATCCCTCTAAACGAGAATCTTATAGTAGGAAACCTCCAAAATTCTATTTCGAAGTAATATTTTACCTTGAACATGAGAGAATTCACAACGAAGTACCACTTTGATGATTTATCCCTTTCATGAATATTTTTATCTATACTTTACTATAAAAATAAATAGTCGAAATATTCTGCGTAAGAATGTATATAAGTCACATAGAAAGTAACGAACATCTTTCTCACCTTCCCCTCCAACGGTTGATACGTTTTGCACATAGAATTTTTTTCATTCGTCGATGCTTCGCAATTACGTTTGATTGCGCGGCAAATTCAAAATAAAGAAACAAATCGCGGGTGAAGGATGGCGCGCGAACGCGAAATGTCTACAGGTAGTTTAAAAATGGCGACAGACAGGTAAAAGTTATTGGAGGGAGCGCGCGCTGCCACGAACGATACTAATAATAAGGAAAGGGCAAGTCGTTGTTAGGACGAGAGAATTGTCCCTTATAGAAAACGCGTTCCACGAATAAATTTTATCTCTTCTTTTCCATTGTTCTTCTGTTTTCCTATATCCTATATATATCTATTCTCTCTTACTTTGCCAGCGTGGATGAAAATCTCTTCCTCCGTTCTCTCTCTCGTTTTCTCTCTCTCTCTCTCTCTCTCTCTCTATCTATCTATCTATCTATCTCTATCTTGTTAGAAAAGAAGGAAGAGGAAAGTGTTGAACAAGATAAAAAAAATGCTGTCTTTTCGCCGGTCGAAAAGCCGCCGCGCTTTTCTCGTCGCGTGATATCGAACGTCGTAACTTCGAAGCCGCACGAGAGAGTAACAAAAAGGGAACGAGGAGGTGGCAGTGGAGGCGGAGGAGAAGGTAGAAGAGGTGGCGGAGGAGGAGGAGGAGGAGAGTCCCCTTTGAGTCGCCGTGTGCATGCAGGTGCGTAAGGTAAACCGGCCCGTCGTCGTCGTTGGGTACGTCGAGCCAATGTCTTTTCCTTATCGTGCTCTACGTTCATTTCTTTATCGTACCGAGAACGGAAAGTCGAACCGTCTCAACGTCGACCGACACTCCGATTTTTCATCATTGGAAAATTCAACGACGACAGCGACGATGTCATTTTCGGTGCCGACTGACCTACCACAATTTTTCTTTCGTTCAAACATCTTTTAAATACGGGACACCAAGTGCCTTCTCTGCAATGAAACGAGCGTTCTAATTTTTGTTCTACCTATTCTGTTATGTGAGATTAGGTCTTTATCGTTCACACACGATCTCGAGTTTTCCTTTTCTTACAGATAAGAACCCTAATTCAACTCTTTGTAATTTCACTTGAGATTCGATTTGGTAAATTAATTTCTTTTCTCTTTTCTCTCTTTTTTTTTCTATATTTTATATCAGTGTATATGTCAATTTTACTTTAGCTTTTATATAAATTATTATTTCTTCAAAGGAAACCTAAATGAAATAAATTATTCAAAATGCTGTTCTCTCTTATATTCAATGTCAATTTAAATGTATTTCACAAGAGACAAAATATATTACACAGACTTCTGTTTTATTTGCTATACTTCAAACCATATTAAAAATATATTAACAACTTGGAATTATACCTAATTATTATATGATATCTTCTTTGATCTGATCTTAAGACTTTAATCTTCACACTTGAGCCAATATACCTTTATCATTATAACAGAGCTATCAAATAGAATGTATGTATTGGCATGTTATTTTTCAAGAATAATTTACATATATTATGATTATTTTTTTCCGTATGTAGCATTACTTTCTTATATATAATATTTTCTAATAATATAATAAATACACGTTTCGACTCGTTAGAAGAATATTTTTATCCATGCATTTTTCTAAACTGTTCCAGCGAGAATAATATTGACATATAATCTAACTGACATTATTCTTTAGAAAAATATCTTATTTATAATTTCTAAGAAAGCTAAACAGATATAAAATTATCATCACTTGTCCAAAGAGATATTTTCGTATGTGCTGAAACATTTGTGCAAATATACGTTTATCTACCTGAGTAATTAATAAGTTTATTTTGGCACCAGGCTAAAATATACTATAAATTCTCTAGCAGTCAACCAAAAATATATTGCTCAAGTTATATATACATTATTGAAACAACTAAATCTCTGTATTATTTTAAGATGATGATGAGTATTTATCAACAAATTTTCAAGTATTTAAAAATGAAATCATGGTGGTATAAACATAGTGGTAAATTTATCTTGTTTTGTAATCCGAGTATATTTTCTTCTTATTCGTATAATAACCATAAACAAAATGTACTTACGATATATTCCTAATAGTTATTATACGAGCTGCAGAATTGAGGCAAAATATAAAATTACAATAATTGAATTTAAAATATTAAATTGTTGTATATAATTCTATGAACAATTAAATATTTTTTCTTTTAACAGGAAAATACAGCTGTAAGAACTATAAGCACATAACAATGGAACACGCGGATTTAGTAGCAGATATGGTCCGTGTAGAAAGGCTCACTACGCAAGAACGACTACATCTTGCACGACATCGTAGACTTCAGCAGTTAAAAGTGTGGCGTCAGCGTGAGAAAGAATGGCTACGAAATCAAACCAGACATACAAGCAACAAGCGTCATATATACTTCAATGATAGTGTCATGTTATTAGAAGCTGCTGCAAGAAATGATATAGATGAAGGTAACGATAACAGTGTGTATAACGGAATAAAGTTCCACTATAAAAAAAGTAAAATACTTTCTATTACCTTCAAATTTTATTAATGTATGATAAATGCATTTTTAGTTAGGAGACTGTTGAAAAAAGGAGTAAATCCCGATTCAACAAATGAAGATGGATTAACTGCATTGCATCAATGCTGTATAGATGACAATGAAGAGATGATGAAGTTACTTGTTGAATTTGGTGCTAATGTGAATGCTGAAGATAGTGAAAAATGGACTCCGTTACATGCTGCTGCTACCTGCGGTCACTTACATCTTGTAAGATATCTGATAGCTAGAGGTGCAAACTTATTGGCTGTTAACGCTGATGGAAATATGCCTTATGACATTTGTGAGGATGAAAAGACATTAGATTGTATCGAAGGTTGATGTCTTATTTATATAATTAATATAAATGATATATATTTTAAGTCAATCTCTCAAAAATCTATATTATTTTCATTCTAGGGGAAATGGCAAGACGAGGCGTTACACAGGAATTAATAGATGAAACTAGAGCGTCAACTGAAGTTCAAATGTTGAGAGATTTGCAAAAAATTGTTACCATGGGTGGAGATCTCGAGTATAAGGATCATCAAGGTGCTACACCTGTATGTTCAAATTCGTCTATTTTATTCTGAAATATAACTTTATTTATTAAATTTATTAAATAGTATATTATATATCTTTTGCAATATAATTCTTATAGCTTCACATAGCATCGGCAAATGGTTATTTAAGGGTAGTCGAATATCTTCTCGATCAACACATTTCTACCGATATAGAAGATAATGATAAATGGCAACCTGTCCATGCAGCAGCATGTTGGGGTCATGTAAGTGAATTATTAACTATTCAATATTTGAACCTTAAAAAATCAATTTTAAAACATTTCAGTTAGAAGTTCTAGAACTATTGGTACAAAATGGGGCTGATTTAAATGCAAGAAATAAGCATGATGAAACTCCTGCTGGTAAAGATTCATTTAAATATAAGTAGAAGAAATTTTATTTTTATCTTTTTGAATAACTAAGATATACAAATTTTTTATGATAACATATATATAACAATGAACTATAGATATTTGTGAAGATCCTGAAATTAGAGAACGTATAGTTGAACTTAAAACGGAACAAGAGAGTAAACGATTGCGAGAAGCACAAGGCCGGCGTGTACGAAGATCGCAAAGTATAAATACCCGTACTCAAAGCGTACGACGGACATCGATCAGAGACAAAGTTCTCACAACAAAGAAAGATGCTCAAGAGGAAGCAAGACTGAGGTTACAAGCACAACAGGTGAAATAATCTAATTAAACAATCAATATATATTATAATACAACATTTTTAATTGTAAATAAAGTACAAATTGTGCTTATTTCTACTAGCTCATCAAAATTACATTAGAATATTTGATTTATTTTAGACATATGTTAGTATTCCAACTCCTAATCTTCCACAAACAGAGAACAGCACTAATACGCAAGATGTGGTAAATAATGAAACTGAATCAAGTACGTTGACTCCTGCTGTACGCAAAGGGCCAGAAGGAAAGGATAATGATTCTTTTATGCATGAAGATGTTGATAAAGATTCAGGTACATTCCAATTCTTTTTATGCTTGTATTGGTTGTGGTTTAGTAGAACATTGTGGTAAATGGTAGCTTTTTCCCAAGAATCATTAAAAATGAACATTTTTTTTTTCTTTTTTTTTTTTTTATTTTTTCTTTTTTCTTTTTTTTTTCCATGATCTTCTTAATATTCACACATAACTATATTTTATTATCTTTTATAATGTACAAAGTAAGATTATGTTATGTATGTATATTAAGGTATATTGCATCTTTCTCTGATTTTTTTCAGTCAATAATTTCTTAAATTTAAGTTGTGTTATGACTCAATGATTATCTCATTGGATGTAATTTGGATATATAAATGACAATAATAATATGCTGTGATACAATAATGTATCTTTAAGTATCTTTAAAAGTTTTAAAGTCTCTGAAAATGAAATTATTTCAAAATATCTATGTTAGTCAGCATAGGTTAACATTTATAAATATATATGAATGATAGGAAGACTCTGCGTATAGTTTATGAACTCTGCGTGTAATCCAAATACGTGGTCCAAATATGTTAGTTACCTATCATTTACCTGCTTTTCTCTTTTTCATTACTGCGTGCTCCTGACTAATTCTGAGGTTAGTTTTTTATGTCACTTTCCTATTTCTTTAATCACATTTTTGAGCAAATTGTATTGATTGATTTTTTCAAATCTTGTAATTACATTGCAATCATGCATATATAATTTATATTTGTACAACATATATAGTACATTTATCTACCAATATGCTCTTTTGTTTTGTAGAAGTTCTATACTTATACTAAATCATTTCACTGGGATAATACCTTTGCTTGGTTTAACAAAATTTAAAAAATGATAAATATCAATTTAAAATGATCTAGTAATTAAATAATTATAATTTTTTGTAAAATATGAAGTACTTCCCATGTGTTTGGACATACTTTGAAACTCGGGAATAATAGAAATTTTTTAAGGAAATTTTATAATAATGATTAAAAGTGCAATGAGAAAAGATAATTTATTACTTAGCAGAAATCTATATAAAATATACTCGCTACGAATTCATAGGTCTAGTGTACATTTAGAAAATTATTATTGTTTGATACATTAATAATTTTATTAAAAATACCAAATATTTAATGGCCTATAGTGTAGTACAGCATGATTATATTACAATTTTGTGAGCTTTCATATAATTTATATTTATCACGAAGTTTCTATATATTTTATGTATATAATTGGTACATAATAAGTACCAATCTTATCATCTTCTAAGGTCATTAAGGTGAATAGACGAATAGTATTGAATAAAAACATATTAGTCAATTTAATAAACATATCAGTTGTAGTTTGGAGATATAAAAAAATATTTGCAACAAACTTGCTACAAACTGATATATAAGATTTTGTTATACATGAATAAAATAGCCTTATAAAAGATTATTATTCTGATCATTATTTTATCTCAATACTACTCAGTCTACCATGAGCAAGCATAGCTAAACTGTTCAATTATGGTAGCTTGTTAAAATGCAGTACAGTTGCTTTAGTAATATTGAACTTTTATAATAATGACATCGTGTTAAAAAAGTATGTTATTATTGTAATTGCATCATTATTATATGTAGAAGCATAGAACTGGAACAAAGAATACCAAAATCTAGTTCCTTTTTTGAATCTAATATATAATTATATTCTATATACTCATATACACATTGACTTAAAAAGACTTTGATCTGCAATATGCTATATACTGTATATGCACACTGGTGACATGGTACTTCTTTATGCAGTGTTTAACGCTTATGCTCAAGCATGTCATGCTTAGTGCATGAGTCTAGTTGAAACATCATTTCCAACCATAATCAGTGCATAGCATATAAGGGGTTAGGTGAAGGGATCGCAAAATGGATTTACAACGAAAAGAAGTTGAGCTTGAAGGAAAATAGCACTGGATTTACCTATTTGCCTCAGCAGTGACAGAACCTGATGTACCAGTTGGCAGCCAGCAACCTATTTACTCGACAGATGATACCAATGGAAAGATCAACATACATGTGTCTGTAGTTTTTGTCAAATCTCTATCAGATTTGAAAAAGAAGAGGGCACAAAATCGACATATATCAAGTGGTTCCGTGGATACTAATGGAAATGGTTTTCCAGTTGTACCAGTTTCATCTATATCCAACTCTGATTTGGGCACAAGTGACTTTCAACGATTTACTGGAAACACAAGTGAAATTATTGGTGATAACCACTCAGAAAAGAGTTGTTGTACTGTCATGTAAAATGTACATATACGAAGATAAAGTTACACGTCGCTAAACTAAATGTTCCTTGAACATAACATGGTAAATATATCTATTCAATTTTTAGATAAAATTTAATTGCATTGATCATTGTACTTAATTCTTCTTAGACTTTTCATAGATCAAAATTCATATGATATTAGAAATATACTTTTATATATACTTAATTATCCTTATTGGGATTCCTGAATAAGCATTACATTCTCTGTAATGTATGTTATTAATAATAATATTTTAAAATGTTATAGAATCAATTTTAGAAATGTTATCCTATTTTGGAATGATTAAATATGTACTTAACAGTTATAGTAACAATGTATTATAGTTAAATTTTTGACATATATTATTCTGTAATTTGTACATAAACTATCATTTGTATTTACACCGTTAATTAGTTAATAATATTAGATATCTTTAACTATTTAGTTAATAATTAGCTATCATTATAAAATTTTAATAATTAATTTATAAGCACGATGGTCTTGTACAAAACTGATTGCGAGATATTTCTTTTTGCTTCTATTATTATATCTCTTATGTATGTGATAGTATCGCACTTATCTTTCGAAATATATATTCATGCAAATTAGAAATAAATTTATAAGCAAACCTCTTTTTGATTTAAATGTTTCATAGTGCTTTAGAATTTCTCTATTATATCAGTTTCTCACATGACCTTTGTTGTATAGAATTTTATTTATTTAAAAAAAGTATTCTAAATAGAGAGTAAACTTATATACATATATATATACATATATATACATATATATATATATATATATATATATATATATATATATATATATATATATATTCTATAAAAAATTATCTTCTCATAAGCAACAGCCAAACATAAGACTACACTCAATATCTTCCAGTCTTTTTTATGAATATAAAATATAATAACTATATAAGTGCTAATTTTATATTAATTTAAGCAGCCAAATTTTTATATCTACTTCTGCTTATATAAAATATAATATATATCTATATTAGCATGTTAAGTATTTAAAACGATGTCTTCAATTATAAGGGAAAAAAAAGGTAGAAAAGAAACACCACTGTAATTTAAATATTTCACATTGTCATTCAAAAATGTATTAAAAAAATAATTAGATTTTCCAAATTACATGTTACAGTGGATATAACGTATATGTTAAATGTCTATCTATGAACTAAAGACATCTATTTTTTTAAAAATATGTGTTATGATATAATCATCAGATAATTATATTATATCTAAATTAACAATATATAAGAATGTGATTAATAAAACGAAGAAGAAATTTTCTATGACATTTAAATAGAAGAATATATTGGTATTCTTTAAAAATGAAAGATATCTGCTATAAAAAATATATATGTATACAAAATATAATAATTTTTATTTTATCATATTATAAGAGCACAATTGGTACTTTTTCTTTGAGTTGTTAGTTCAAATCTCATATGCTAAATACAATTGATGAGAAAAGAAAGCCTATTATACTACAAATAATAAATTATATCTTCCTATATAATCAGTATCAATGTGTTCAGAAAGAATAATATTTCTAAATATTCTTGCAATAACAATAATTTTCTTAGACTTTTATGTGTAATATTAAATTTGTGATGTCATAATGACAACTCTCATGTATATTTTAACTGCCCTGACCAATTATCTTAATTAAAATTCAATATAGATATTATTTAGAATTATAAAACCTATTAATATTCATATTCATTGAAACAAATTTAGTGCAACAATTTTCACAAACAACAATGTTCTTTAAATAATCACTTTTATAAACAAATGCAGATATCTTCCTAGCTTTTATGAATAATTTCAATTAAACTAATAAAATATATACTATCTTTAGGCAAGCATTCAAATGTAAGACCATTATTATGTTTTACATAACATAACTTGTCTATATATCACGACAATATATATCAAAAATTATTAAGTAGAAAGAAAAAATTAATACTGAACAATATATGTAAATGTATCACTATATGCACTTTTTCGATATTAAACAATTAGATGATATAAAATGTGTTCTTTTATCATATATTAATGCAATGCATAATGCTCGGAAAACATTTTATTTATTTATTAGGATTTTCTTCATTAAGATTATGGGAGGAAATAAGATAATTATTAAACATTTTCGTATAATTAAATAACATTGTCTTAACAGAAAACAGTTACGCTTTTTTTGTCTGTAAAAAGCACAGTATAATGTAAAATATGTAATGTAAAATATATAAGATTATATTGTAATGTAAGTTATTATGAAATATTTACTAAACATTCTGAAATGGTGCTCATCATATAAAATAAAAGGATTGTATACAATAATTATTAGATATTAAAATTGTATATAAATATAACGATCAGTTAGTTAAGTAAAATTGAAAGATATTTTTCTTTTTTATAATAATATTCATCTCATATTATTTCACTTTTTATATATACATATATTTTTTTATTATTACGCTATTTCATTCAAAAATAATGTGATTTAGGGGTTTTATCATTATACTCAAATATTAGAAACAATATAATATAGATTTAATTTGATTATCATTACAACTTAGATTTTTATATGATAAAAATTCTATGAAATATAAATGTTCACAATATAATAAACACTTTAAAATATAATTTCATCTTCTCTGTAAAGATACTTTTACAAATGTACTACCTATACTCTATTGTACAGCTACTTTTTTCAATTGGTTTAATTGCTATTATATTTGTATTAAAATATATTCGTGATATTTAAAAATTGCTTCTGTGTAAGTAATATCTTTTTAAACTATAGCATACAAGTACACTATTATATAGCACTGTACACTTAATGATGGTTAAAAAAAATTCAATGAGAACACGTATGTTTCTTTTTATGTTAACACGTCATATATATATAATATCCATGATGGTACTCTCTTTTATTCTTATACTCTCAATAGAAGTATGGATAATACTGTGGATGTAAAATAACTAAAAATATGAAATATCATCATACATGAAAAGAAGGTGTTTGTAGTATGCATAAAACTATTGCGTGTAACTTTAACTATCTATATCTTACAACATGATATAAAAAGAGAAAAAAATATGATTTGCTATAATACTATTATTTAGATTTTATAATAAATACTTCATATTTAATTTGAGCAGAAGTAACATTTTGTATCTATGAATCAATTTATAACAAAGTTTTATAAATTAAACTAAATTAAACAACAGACTTCCTTGCAGTAAGGAACTAATTTCGTCAGTCTACATTTTTCCAGTAGAATTAATTTCATTTATTTAATAAACTAACAATATAGACCAGTTCCTTGATTTTTAATAAGATATTTTTTTATATACTGTGCAGCTTTGTCACTAAGACCAAAATTTGGTAAATCTTTTTCAAGTTGCTCTAATGATCCAACTCCTGCTATATACCCATTCAATTTAGCTGCTAAAGGTGAAGTACGTAATATCTCACCTGTTGTAAGACCGGTAGTTTCGATTAACCATGGATGATTTTGAAGACGATATTTTTGATGATAACTAAAATTCAAAACAAATTGTAATTCAATTAATTACATCTATCACTAAAAGCATCTATTACTAAAATAAAATTACTACGAATGACTTTTATTATCAAGTTCACATGTAACTTACTCTTCTGCTGGATAAAATTTTTCAAATGGTTTAATCTCGGTGACAAATGTCTCTCCACGTTCACGTTGTTCATGATCTTTTGATTTTTCAGCTATCATCTTTTGTTCCTCGTCGTGATATAAAATTAATGACATGTACTGCAAATTTCAAGATATTAAAAAAAAGGAAAAAGAAAAGAAAAAGAAAAAAATTTAATATGAAATAAAAATTTAATCAGGGAAAGCCTATTACCTGTCGTTTAATTTTTGTAATTAAACTATATTCATGGTTATTCCAAAACATACTAAGTAATTGCGCGTATGATACAACATCTGGGTCAAATTCAATATCAATAACTTCTGTATGGTCACCTCTGTAATAGAAACGAAAACAGTATTGATAATCATATAAGCGATCAATTATAAAAATTGAATGAAATTATAAAAAAAAAGCATATTACATGTTTTTATATGTTGGCGTCTCCTTAGTACCACCGGAATAACCTACACAAGTTCTTATAACACCGGGTAATGCTCCAAAGAGGGAATCACCAGCCCAGAAGCATCCCATACCAAAAGTGGCATGCTTTCCTTCAACTTCCTCCAGCTGACCAGGCATTTTCTTTGGCAGACAAAAGTTACATTCGTACACATCGCTACTGCACATATAGTAGGATATAGAACAGTTACCCAAATAAGAGATCACCGTTCGTGGTAAAGAAAATATGAGTAACATCGTCAATGTTACGTCAATAACATTTAATTTATTCATTTCGTTAAATTTTTTTCTTTATTATATACACTTTAAAAACTAAAAAGGAAAGAATATTCGTAAGGATAATTCAAGTTCAAGGAACGCGATACACGTGCGAACAAACGCGTCCACGTATCAAAATAAGTACTTTAACTACTGGCACCCAAAAAATGCGCGTGATCTAGTCAAGGCTAATCAGTGATATCTATCGTAAGAAAGTATTTCATTTATTACGGATTTTCAAAAGTCTACTTAAAGATTCGTCATTAAAAAAAAAAATCTCATTAGCAAATGAAAAAAGATCTCGTCTCATTAATATACATCTAATAATCTTTAGCGAATAATTTATATCGTTCCAATATGTCTTTGATCGAATCGTGTGGAAGCACCTTAACGTTTCAAATCACAGACCATCAAAATAGAATTTGAGAACCATCGAATTTCAATTTGCTTGATCATCTTAATATCGTTCGTCCATTTATAATTTTTTACAACATGTTTCACATTGAACCATCTAATTTAATAAGCCTGAAAAAGAGTCGACATGGTTTACAATAACATTCGGTATTAAATTTTATTTTATTTAGTGTGAAATAAATTGATAGTACTATCACTATATATACTTATATTAATAAGTAAAAAATATCTTAGAGAAAGAACTTGTCAATGTTAAAAAATATACCAATGAAGATTATACCTATGTTACGTAAAATTGTATGTGAGATCGAATATTGTAAATTTACCTTTGTTGTTTATGGAACAAATTAGATCCGCACAATCTAAAAGAAGAGCGTTCGTCCGGGAGTCAAAAGACGAATTCTCGATAAAGCGAAGGCACAAGAATTACTACCAAACGATTTATCGAGCTACACTTTTTATCTGTGCTTAAGCCTTTAGTATCCCCACCACAAAGTTCGTCTTCCCCCATTCTTCGCAGGTCGTCTTTCAATAACTGTTCCTCACGTGCACGCATTGTTTTTTCGCAAGATGCTTTTCTTTTGTGAACATATTTTTTCTCATATTAAAATATATAATCACAGATTTTACAACAACTGATAAAAATTCAAATTTCGTAGCAAACTTCACAGAGGATCGCTCGTTTTCGTACATCTTTATGCATATATAATTAAACCGATAATTTTTGCTATAATTATAGAGAATATAATATAACAACTATAGAAAATATAATATTAAGTTTAAAAACTGTGCATATAATTTAGTTAATTTTTAAAAGGTAAAGTTTTCTTTGTACACTTTTTAATATTTTTTTTTTTTTTTTTTGTTTTTTTTTAGCCACAATACATTGTTCTCAAATGTGCAACAGCCAATTAGATGGGCTAAATATAAATCGATCGTAGCAATTGATATTTATTCAGATCAAATCGAACAATCGAATTTATAGCAGAATAAAGAAAAACGAGGGATAAGTGCAGCTTACCTTAACATTTACGTTGAAAAAGCGAATTTGCGAAGGACCACCACCAATTTTCGTTGTCTTTTTACAAGTCTTTAAAATAACCCGTGACGCCATTGTCGAATAGATTTAATTTTTATAAATAATTACGTTTCGTAAAAAAAAAGGTTAAGGTGTTAAGCTGTTACCTTTTTATGATCGTTTTCTTGAAAAATTTCTTATTTCTATATAAGTCACGTAATCTTTCTTTATATAATTAAAAAATATTGTACATAATAATTTATAGTTAAAAATCTTTTACAGATGACCGTAAAAATGTTGAGAGGTTACGCGTAATATGATCAACCCTAAAAGCTTTCACTGTTTCACACTACTCAAGGTAAGAACTATCGGCGCATGTACCGAAAATATAAACTCACATGCGTAAAAAGCATCGAGTGTGGTTAAGTATATCACCCTTCGATACGTGTGTATACTCTTTCCAAATTAGCATGCGGATTGCAATACATTTGTATATTATATTGTAAACTCTGCCATATCATTTTATTCTTAAAAATTAATCATATTGCCAATCTCTGAATAGAGTAAGATAAACGGATTAATTAATTGGATATTAAAATTTTTAAGATAATTTGTTAACAACGTCACAGACGAATTGTATAAGGTTGCATTAAAAGTAAAAATACGCGGGAATTTATACGAATTTAAAATCTAATTTTATCGAAACATGTTCAAAATCGAATTTTCGATATTTTCGATTGTAAATAAAAAACGATAATGGACGTTTACATTTTATTGTTTTAAACTATTTTAAATAGCGAAGATTTTAAAGGTAAATACTCAAATTCAATTCACGTGGAGATCTTTTGATTGATAGATAGATCGATAGATAATTGATTGTCATCTTACGGTCACTTCGTATTTCTTTCAATAACGCAGTAACAACAATTGACGATTTATGAAGTTTAATAATCTATGATTACTCATGAGTTGCATCAGAAAAAGCAAGTGGTAAGTTTGATTTAAATAAAATTGCGGAACACTGACTGATGTAATCTTCCTTCTGATAGTACCAAGCTTCTGCTTACACAGCATCCTATTACACATTTAAAGCAATTCTATCATTGATACTGTTATCACTCATTTCCCCGCAGTACCTCATTCATTTTCCGTTTACTTGAAATGCTGAGTAATCAAAACTTTTTTCGCATCTTTATCAAATCATTAAGATATCAAAATGTTCATATATATATATATATATTTTTTTTTAATGTTATTTTGTCATATCATTTAACATATAAGTTAAAATCTTATCATTGTCTTACAACAATATTTTGTATCTATTACGTATACATAAAATTGTTGCATCAGATCTATTTCTTTGTCAGAATTCTTCGATCCAGTTTTATTACAAGCAACTCATTGTCTTTCTTACTTTTTCAATAAGTTTCTTAAAAAATCTATTAATATTTACAAGATTTTTTTCTTTTTAAATAATACTTTTAAGCTAAACTTATACAATACTTGTCTTCGCCATGTACTTCCTGTCATGCTTTTGAGGTTAGAAATATTAGGGATACTTGTGTTTGTGTGACTAATGCACGTGCACGATCTGTATTAGTACGTATTATAATATTTTATTCAATATTTCTTTAATGATGGTACAATATAAATGTTTCTTTTTTGTTTTTTTTTTATAGACTATAATACAAAACAGTTTTACATAAAAGTACAAGAATAAGATATCATTGGAAGTGATAGAAATATTTATTGTGAAGCTCTATTTTTATATAAATAATTTTTGTATAATCTATTATAATATGGTAACCTTAATGGATTCTATATGCAATACTATTGGTATCGATAGAGTGGATATGCATGGAAGAATGGTTTTAATCGAAGAGCAACATGGCTCTGATGCAAATTTTTTAGTGAATGCACTTATTTCAAATGCATTGAAAAAGGACTATGGAATTTGTTTTGTACTTTTTCATAATACATTTAGTCATTATCATAATGTAAGTATGAGAAGTGGTCATAACCTAATGACATTAAAAGAAAAGGGTAAAGTAACACTTGTGGAGCCCATGAAAGAATTAATGAATAATATAAATGGAATATACATGGATACCGATACTATGGACATTAGTAACAGAATTTTCTTTGATTTAAATGTGAAAGTGTCGGATAATAGCAAAGATAATAGATTAAATGGTATGACTGTGGTTGATAACATGTTTAAACTTTTAAGAGATAGCTATAATGAAGTGGCAAATCAAAACAAAACAGTTTTAATAATTATAGAGGATATTTCTCATCTGTCCGATTTAGGATTAACTCTTAAAGATTCTATGTACTATATAAGATATATAAGATCGCTTATGGAATCTTATCCTATGACACAGTTGTGTGTTACAGTGCATACATACCAAAACGATGTACAAAGTTGTACTCCTAATTTTATTTGTAATAATCTTAAATATATGGCAGATCTTGTTCTTATAGCAGAACCATTAATGACTGGTCATTCTAATGATGCTTCTGGAAAAATAACAGTCTGCTGGAATGTAGATTCTGTAAGAAGTGAATATCATTGGACAGAAAAAATGACATATTTATATAAATTGCTAGGTTGGCATGTAAAAATATTTGCACTTGGTGCAACAACGTTTGTGACATAAAAGACTTGCTTATGAAAACATCGATGTATTATATTATTTGTATTATTCTTGAATTAATCCTTTTATTGTCTTCGAGTTTGGAGACTCATGACAGATAATTTGCATACTTCACTTAGCGATATTCAATTTTAATTAATGACATTTATTCAATATAAAATTTGTCTATTGGTCTCTGAAAGTGTTGAAATAATTAGAATAAGATGGGTATAAAGCAGAGCAGATATGAAAGTAGTTCTATTCAAAATTATTATAAATTATCATACGAGGAATATTGGTTAATTAAACAATTATGGAAAGATATTGAAAATAAGCCTCAATATTATGGAAATTTATTTTTTACAAGGTTTGTCTAATAACTAATATCTCCAAAACTATTACCAATTGAAATGATATATCTTTAAAAATAAAAAAGATCTTTAGTTTTCTTAGAACCCATCCACAGTATATAAAGTATTATACCTTGAATCCACATGTTCCTCTTGGCGTGGACATTCGGCTTTGCGCGAAATTCACACTGATTATGGAGGCTATAGGATACCTTATATTAGATGTTTACAAAAACCGAAAGCAATTGGATCGTTTGGTTGGTTATGTCGCTATGATTCACAAAGATATGCGCTTAAATAAAGAAGATATGAGAGTATGTCATTATGGTGACTAATAATAATTATTGCTACATAGGAATGCAATTCAATAGTTTATTACTATATAAATATATAATACGACTCACGAAGACATTTTTACAAAATTATTGAGCGCGTTATTAATTTTGTTAATGAATATTCGACTATTATCTAAATAACCATTAGTTGTCTAATAGTATCATCAGTAAATGCGTATACTCTGTTCGTAAAATTATAAATAGTTATTTATCTTTAGAATTTCGAGACAAGTTTTTTGCAATACTTGGAACAAACATTTCCAATGTATATGACTGGAAAATGTCAAAAAGCAATGAAAATGTATTTCAATAGTATTGTAAATGGAATTGTAAATAAGATGGAGAAGTTTCGTTATTATGATATGGCCGACGCGGAAATAAGGCCGAAATCGGTAAGATCTGCAAATATTTCTTGGAAATAAGCTTTTGGCTTAACATCTCTATATGCAAATCATATAACCACCTATCATTTTATTTCTATATTATCGCTCAATTTAATTGGCAATCAATTTACTTCGATAGTGTAGTCTTTCGGTCGTTGTACGTTGTGTGTCGGCAATTTGATATTCGGTCAGACCATAACATACTGGAAAGACAGAAAAAAAGATTGGGATATGCTATTGAATATGTGGAATATTGAAAATTCGACCTTAGAGCAATGGTTGATTCCATCGAATAACCGGGACAACGCGATGACATACACATCGATGACCAAAGACAAGACGATCGAATTACCTCAATTGAAAGTAGTACGTGATGACAAACACGAGAAAGATTCTATTAAATTAGTTACATCTTCCTCCGTTGAAAAAGTGAGAGTATCTCTTTTTAATAGTCGCTTTATATATTAGAATCGTCCAACCCGTTTCTAAATTACTATTCATGAAAAATATCATCTTTTATAATTGTTAAGTTAAACGGTCGATCAACAATCATTTCTTAGACAACGAACGATGATAAAAAAGACGAGTTCAAGAACAAATTATCAAGAAATTATAAGCGTTCCATGGAGAACAACTATCGTAGTAAATCATCGGAGATATTTAATGATTGGACATTGTCAATATGGGAACAAGCACATTCGCCGAACATGAATCCTCGGGAAAGATTTCGTGCTTTTAATATCTTCCGTGAGATCATTGATCCTCAAAACGATCCTAGAATACTTCGTAGAAGATTGAGAAGCAGTCGTATAGCGATCAGGCCCAGTAATCAAATCATCAATCAAAACGACAAAGAGGCGATTGTTGAGCACGTGGAACACCGTAAATTTGAAAATACGGCGCGTGAAAGACGTCGAAAGTCTCAAAAATTCAGCTTCGATCTGAAATGAATAATGGATCAGTGGAATGTTCGAATGGATCGAAGCAATGATTTAAGCAATATTTAAATGTTCGTAAAAGAAATGATGTGTCCTTCAATATTTTCTGTACAATCGATCCAAAAAGTATATATCATCTCGTCGATGAAATTTTAAATTCACTTTGACATTTATCGTTATCTAATCGTGTCATACAACTATGGTCAGCTTTACTTCCTTGGAGTATGAATCGATTAATATTGGAATAAAACAAATCGACGAGTTGTCTTATAAAAATAATTCATGCTTACTTCAGCTCGGCGTTTCTCGTTCATCCGTTCTTCTTAATGCATTATATCACATATTGTTTCCTTGTGAAAATCTTACAGAATCCATGCTATCGTCGCTGGCTATGCGTCGGAGTTTTCTAATCCTTTACAATATAAAAATCGAAAGTAATAAATGCCTTTTTCGTTTCTCTTTAAATCGATATTGTCAATGTTAAAAAAGAAGAAAGAAAAAATAATTGTTAATTTATAATAATACTTTCAAAGTAAATAACCGTATGTTTTCATACGGAAAACATACGGCCCACTATATTCTTACTGATTTCTCGAGTTTGAGGATGGAATCGGTGGGAAGAGAACTGCTGGAGAGATTAAAGGCTGTACTACGGGACCCATTACTCTTTCCACATCGAGTGGTTCTTGAATCGGTGGTAAGGGCGATTGATCCCAATCAGAATCTGTAGAACTAATTACATACACACACACACACACACACATATATATATATATATATACATACATACATACATATATACATATATATATACACACACACGCACATATATATATATATATATATATATATATATATATATATAACGTTATTATTAACGTACATCAAAGTGACGTCATTCGTTGTTAGAAATCCTTAAAAGAACATTTGATTGCGTCGTAGTACTATTGTCGATGCGCAAACTATTTCATTTTCTTTTCGATATATCGTGAGTGAATGTGTAATATGCTAGGTAAACATAAAAACGCGGTGAAAAATCGATGATGCGTTTGTATGTACGAAGGGAAGAAAAGTTTACACAGTTGGAAAGTATTACTTTGTACTTACTATGCAATACGATCGATAACGCACAGAAAAAAAGGGGTCACCGACGAATTTTCTTTATTGTACACTTGTTTTTTTCAGAATCCATAAAGATACTTTTGCAACTAGTGCAACTTTGGAGTCTCGGTAAAAATACTTTTTATCGGAGTAAACTTTGCTAACATATTTTATGAATAATCATGACTACTTTGCCGCAATAGAATATCAAGGCGTTCAATAACTACGAACACGCTATATAAAAAGAACAACCTAATCGATAATATTCATATTATCGGTTCCTGTTATTGCTCATACCTGCTTGGTATTCTGCTGTCGTTGTTAAAAGTGTCATAACTCAATCTACTAGATATAGGTGGAAGTTTAGCTCCAAATGCCAGGGATGAGAATGTCAGATCTGCCAGATTACTGTCTACATACGTAGCAGCTTGTATCTCTTGTTGATAGAGCGCATAAAGATTTTGTAAATCCGGTGGCAGAGTCAGACGTCCATCTGTTCAATTGAAAGATCGATATATTGAGATTTATATTAAACGATTCATTATAACGTACCCTCCATTATTCGTCTCTGTCTTGTGATTATCTCATCAGAGATTTGCCTTTGCCGATCATAACGAAGAAGAAGAAGCTCTCGTCTTCGAAGTTCGTGTTGCTTCACGAGTCTCTCGCTCTGAAGCATCATTTTGTCTGCTTCCAGTTCGTGAACTTTTAACATCAATGCTAAAAGCTCACGTTCTTCGTCCGAATTTATACGGGATGGGAGTTCCTTCAAGAAAAATAATCTTTCTCGTTGTTTTTTCAAATTTATATTCTTTTTTCTTAATCACGATAACATAAACTTAATACGATACTTACGTCTTCTAGCGCGGCACTTCGTTTCCTACAAGCCTCTAGCTCCTTTTCCGTAGCGGCGCGCATTTCAACGTACCTTTCCTGTTCCTTCGAAATCTCTGCCAATTCCGCCCAAGCCTGCTGTACCAATGAATCATCTTCGAAATCAATATCCTCTAGAAGATCTAAGAACGACATATTTTGAATCTTCGTTTTAAAAGGTACTGATTTCTTTTTTTCTTTTTTTATTTCCATAATGAGACATCCTACACTTGCCTATGTCATCGACTTCTTCCACTTGATAATCCGTTCCAGGACGACGATTTACCGAATCTCTACTCGACCCGTATACTCTATTGTTCCTCGATTCCCACTGAGAGATTATCGAATGCTGTTGCTCCGCAGCGATGTTTAATCCCAAGAGATGACTATCCAGTTCCATAAGTTTCTTCCTGTTTATCGATCATTTTTAAATGAAACTGCAAGTAATTATTTTTTCTAATGTCGATTTACTGAAAGTATTACCTCAAGCGCATTTGTTCTTTAAAAGCGGATACAATTTTCTCTCTCAAAGATCTGAAATCTGAACCATGACCGTCATGTTCCTTCTCCTCGTATCTATCCGAAGGCCTATCTTCCTTCATTTTATTACGCAGACGCGATATCTCGCTCTTCAGATCACTGATTATGTCCTGATATTGGGCAACGTGAAGATAACTAACGTCAAGAACATTTCTTTCTACCTTGTTCGAAATCTTGTTCGCTCGATCCGCATAATTCAAAGTGTTTTTACTTTCATCGCGGTGCACGTTCGCTGGTGAAACATGAGCTATCATAACGGTACGACAGTTACCACCGAGAGCTTCTTTAAGCAATCTGGTCAATTTGGAGTCACGATAATTCACGAATCTCGCTCCACCGGATAATGCCTTGATGCAGTTGCTCAGTGCCAATAATGATCTGTTAATATGCGCACCCTCTTGAAGACGTTTACCTTTGTTCTAAACACATGAACGCGATGTTAACTGGATTCGTAAGAATCTCTTAGATAAAAAGATAATCCGTAGACGGGAAGAGAATTAATTTGTGATTTGAGAAGGAATTTGAAGCGTCTCCTGCACCTGAGTTTGTTTGGCTCTCTCCGAACCAGCGAGATCTATCATGAAGAGTCTACCCTGCTTCAATTTCGTGCGAAGACGTTGCCCGGACTCTTTAACAGGAGAAGAGGATTGTCTGACTGTGACACTAAGGAGAGCGTGACTCCTCGAAGAGGTTTCGTTTGCAGCCGTCGGCTCTACCATTCTTGCTTTATTGCCTTTGTGAAGGAGTTGCATGACCTGTCGATACACGAAACATGCTTACGAATAAATAATTATCTCTCAACGATGATATCGATCGTCGTGTCAAGTTACACATTCAAAGAGTTACGCGTGCTTAGGTTCGTTCAAGGGAACGAGATTCGATCTACGAAATAATCCATTAAGGATTGATTTCATCCGTAGGTATAACTTGGGGGAAAATTCCACGACTTACTTCCTCGGTCGAATTAGTAGACACTTCCGTAAGACCCGAAACTTGAACGTTGCGACCTCGAGAATCCTCACGCAACTCCAAATATCCTGTGGTAGGGTTCAACAGATCGCGGATGTTCTCATTGTATATCTCTACGTATGACATAGTAACCTGTAAATTTAAAAAAACAAACTTAAATTTTAATCTTTAAATGAAAAAAAAAAAATCTTTAATTATGTAATATCGATGATCCTACAGTAAATTCTACGTTGTTCATTAGTTTCTGGGTCGTTAGAAAAATGTCGTTCAAAGCTCGAACCATGATCCCTGGATCGGACGAGGTCCCAACCATGGTGTGCGTTTTTCCAGCTCCCGTAGCTCCATACGCAAAGACCGTAGCATTGTAACCATTGAGAACATCTTGGACTAAATTTTTCGTTGTACCTTCGTACACGACTTCCTGTTTGGTAAACATTTTATTTTAATATTTCTCAGTTCAATTTTTCTTACTGTAATAAACCTTTTTACCTGTGTTGCATCTTCGCCAAAAACAATGTCATAAAGATATTGTCGTGGAAAAGAACGTTTTGACTTCTCACCGACCACTTCTTCTACCATAACCATCTGCATATTTTTATATCTCGTTAGCTCTCGTTTTTATATTTCCGTTTTATATCATTAAATTTAATTAATGTCAATTCCTTACCTTATCGTTAATAGCATGAAGAGTTCTACCTGCTGTAAGAGTTTCGCCTGGTGTAAGGGGCCTTATACGTACAGCGACCTAATCAATAACATAAGTTATAACTGATTATTGTTTTATGCATATACATAAGTTCGAAGTATGTACACGAGGCAATAAGAGAAATGATGAAATCTGAGAACGTAATCTTGCAAAAAAATAAAAGAAAAAGATATAAAATCGTCGATTTCTAAATTATTAACAAATCATTGGACTTATCGGTAATTTGTCAGCAATTTTTCAAAGCGATTCTTTTACTATCACATATGCACAGGATTAAGCGCAACGACCCATGCTTAATTTTTTATTACGTCTTTCTCATTTGATACATGCGACATAGCGTCTGTCACGCTATTATCAAGCATATGCCGATAAATTATTTGCTTTCATCATTTCGTATTAACTTTTCTTAAATAATTAAAATCATACCAATTCTAATCGATCGCGAGGTTTAATGCAATGCCAAAAGATAACTACGAATATGATCGATTTATGTTCTTCGATCAAATATTTAAAAGTCGTTGATGTTATATTACAAATAAGGGAAAAAGAAGACTGTTTTTATTCATCGATTCTAGAGATCAGAAAGAGGTATATATTAATATTTACCCACCCTTAATTTTTCTTCGATCGCTTTCGATGATCGATCTTTAAAATCACGATGGCCATTGCTACTTGTGCTACTGCTACTTCCACTGCTACTGTACTGCGTCATCTTACTAATTTCTTAATTCGTAATACGATAAATAAATTAATAAAGTAAAGTTGTACGATAGTAAGATCAAAAAAATCTTTCAGCTCGAGTATCATAGAAAACGTACTTTTTCTTTCCTTTTTACTCTCTTTCTCCTATGGCACAAATTTTTTCATATTAATAATTATTTTTTTTCGTTATTATCCTAAAAGTTCTTTATTGGTTTGATCGTAGAACAAAATTATTAAAGTGTTGTATTAATATGTTATAAAGAGTTTAAAAAGAGTTTAAAAAGCGAATCGTATTTTCCTTTTGTATATTTTACAAACGATGGTTCAAAACAGAAAGATAATCATATGCACCACTTTTCTAAGGTTTTTCCTTTAATTAACTAAAGTTCATAAATTTGGAAAATTATTTGTGACAGAAGAACGTGTGAAAAATAACGAGTGAGTCATGCGAAAAAAATAGAATCTCTTGAATTCGTATCTTCTCATAATAGGCTCGAAAATGTTATTTAATTCTATAAGGTTTTTTTTTCTTTTCGAGCGGTAAAAGAACGTTTCACTTGAGCATATTTTAACGCACGTTATCGGTTAGAGGTCAGACGGCCGACTGAAGCGCGCACCTGTCCACCCTCTGGAGAAACGTGTGAGCTTACGAGTTACTGCTTACCCTTAAGAATTACGAACTTTCTACTACGTTGAAACTTTTCGAGAAAGAAAAGGATACGATTTAAACATTCTTCCATCGATCACTTGCTAACTTTGAATTATCAAAAGTCACGTGTTCCTTATTTCTTCGATAGTTGAAATCATTCTCAAAACATGACTGCGTTAAAGATGAGACATAAGAACAAAAATATTTTTTCCAGCAATAATTATATTTCGATTGGCTTGGAGATAATGAGAAAAACGGAGGAGTTCTATTTTTCGAAAGCAGCATTATTTGTCTCAAAGTTCGATAATCATAAATCAATCGCCGATCATAAATGATTTGTTTGACGTGTCCTTTCACGTGTCGAGTTACAAATAAACATTACGTTTTAGCATTATGCCCGAACGTTATATGATTTTACGGTCATTAACCAGTACTTATGGTTGCACTACGCATAATTATGCGGTTTTACTATTCTTCCGAAGAGACAAAAATAATCAATGCTGAATAAAGTTAAGCATCGAGGTCAGAGCTAGACGGTCAGATACGATCGATCGATATTACGTATGTGGAACATTAGTTGGCATTATGCGACGAGCTTCGAACGAAATGTTTTTAGAGTGACATCAAATTTTTGGCCATATCATGTGTGACGTCCTAAGAAAAAATAAATGAAGAGATAGATAGATAGATAGAGAAAAAGAGAGAGAGAGACAGAGAGAGAGAGCGCTTCATTCACAAAAGCGTCGTCTCACACTGGCGATATTTTGTTTCCATAAAATTTCAATATTGCAATTTACGATGTTCTCGCGGAATCTTTCGAATCGTATATTTGATTTATAATACATACATAAGTGTATGCGGTTAACACTGTTAAATTCTTAAAAATAAATTTATTGTAAAGTTAGAAGAAAAATCTATATGCTTGTCTATGCGTATATGCATAAAGGAATAAAGAAAATATAGAAGGATAAATAAGTAATTGCTTGCACCCTGAGAAAAATGGTGATTTTCACTTATAAAAAGATGTTGCGTGAGACACGCACGTTTCCTCGCTTAAAACTCTTGATAAATAAAAAAAAAGTACCGACCTTCAATATTCTCTTTTTACTTTTTTGAATATTTATGAAATAAACTCGTGCAAATTGTCGTTTTGTTACAAAAAGGATTCGTATGGAATCATGCCAGAGTAAAATCCATTCAAAATTGCATTAAAGTTCTTTCTTACTTTGTTATCGGGAGCTAACATTTTGGCGATTAAATCTCACAACTATTTACTATTATACTATCACTATTATACAAAATATTTGAATGTTAATATGTCCGAATAAATAAGATGTTGTTATATAAGTTTAATAAGATCTGTTATATAGCAAATTAAACAATATACGTATTGATAAGATCTAACAATTTAAATTCTACCGGATAGCTTAGATTTGATAGCAAAATATACGTATGTAAATTATTTTTGTAATGCATATTATACTTCATATTTTCAGATCCCTATTATCGGCGACTCATCATTTTTTATAAGACGAGACAACTTTTGAAGAACAATTTTTCGCGTTTCTTTGTATTTCTTAAAACAATTACAGGCAATGAGAAAATATTAGATATTTAAATCCAAATAAAAGACCAATATAGAATATTAAATATGATGAACGCCACAGGAAAGACTATTCTACTTCGTCGGTCGATCCATTGAGCTATTTCTTGGGGCGTCATAGTTGTGAAATTGTGTAATTGTGCTAGGGTCGGCCGTCTTGTAAAAGGTTTCGGCGGTGGAGTACTGTCGATCGTCATGATGCTCCCCACGGAACATTCTTGATCCTTATCTTCCTCGATCTTTACCGAAGGTATATTGATTGTACTCGGAAAGCTCTACACAATACGTTAATGGTCAAAGTTTGATGAAATTTTTGCTTATTACTTTAAATAGAAACTAATTTTAATTACTTTTCATATATAATATAAAGGAAATTTTATAAATACATAGACTTACGTGTACAGTGAGGTAATTTTGGCTTGAATAATCTTGTTCGTTGATATTACCATTGTCGAGCGAAGACCAAGAACGCGATCGTTCTAAACCTACCGTATTCTTTTGAAATTGTTTCCTTGCTAATTTTGGAGTTAAAGTGGATTTAAGTATATACTTGCTGTTCACCTTTTTTAATGGCACATTTTTTCTGTTCGAAAATATTTATCAATTTTACTTTTATTTACTATTCTTCTATTTTTTATTTCAAGTGACAAAAAAGGTCTTATTAATTTTATGAATGAAAATATTATAATACATACTTTCTTCTATAAATCGTATTTACGAATGCAAATTCAACCATAGCTGAGAATAAGAATATTGTACAACCAAGAAACCAAATCTCACTGGCTTTTATATAAGATACCTTTGGTAAAGAATTTTCTACTTTAGATGCAAGAGTCATAAATGTCAATATCGTATTTGTTCCTGTTTAAAATTATATTAATTTATATTAATCTTTCCTTTTAATATCATATGAGAAGCCAGTATTATTGCTTTATAAAATACCTAAAACAATTCGAGGAGGACCTGCATCCATGTGTAACCAAAAGGATACCCAAGATATAACAACAATTAATATGGATGGTATATAATAATCCATCATGAAGAATCCCATTTCACGAGCTAACTTAAATGTTATGGTAATTGAGCTGAAATTACCAGCTAAAATGATGAGAATGATAATATATTATATCAAATTAAAATTATTTTTTATACAGACTGCAAAGTAATGACACCATCACTTTTTTTTATCATCTATTATCCATATCTATTATTTGTAAATACCTGGATAGCTGATACCTGATTTGTTTTTTCTGCTTAACTAAATACTTACCAAAATGACCGTAATGCTGTTGTGCAGTGGTATATGAAACTTGAGACTGGTTTACCCATTTTTCTACAAGTTTATACTCGGTTAAATGTAATTCATCAGCAAGCACAATTGGTTCATCATCCCAAACCAGTTCCATATCTTGTACATTGTATGTCCCTGTAGGTAAAAATACCATTCATTCCAAGCAGCAGACTGGAACAATATAGTTCATGTGGCATTAAAACAACAAAAATAACATCCTACAGCTTTCAAAAGCTAGTGGGCACTCCTGTACATCAAATGGGAATTTTTCTAAACGAAGTCCACAATTAAGAATTGCCTCCATTCTGAAGAAAAAAGAAAAAAAAAAGGAAAAAAAAAAGAAAGAAAAAACATTAATAAATTATTACAATTATTATATTTACGTATAGAACAGGTATAGAATTTGAAAATATTCATATACCTGGTATTTAAAACGACCATTCCGGCTGGATTAATGGAGATTAGCAAATCTTTAACACTATTTCCCACAACAGCAGAACTTCGTTCGTTAGCTACATACACGGAAGGTGTCCAAATTAGATCATGTGCCACTTTTCCGCCATATATTTGAGTTAAATTTGGTGCAATATCTGAGAATTCCAATCGTTTATCCACATATCGAAATTGTAACATCATATTTACACCAAATTGCTATAATATAATATAATGGTTTAAGAGAATTCTACATACTTCGTATTAAATATAATGCTCTTAGAAAATGTTTGATGAATAAAATAAAATATATAATATCTACATTACCAAGGTCTTAGCCATATTTGATCTAAGTATATATATGTATACTCTTGTATAAACTTTTATAGGATCAGAAGAATTAATTTGACCCGGTGGTCTAGCCATTTTATCGTAACGACAATCATGGGTTAATTCTTGTAAAAGTTCAGTTTGTGTAACACTGCCAGCAATTTTCATAGTTGGGCAAATTCCTGCTCTGTGAGAAAAAGGATAAAAATATTAAAACAAAATAATATCTGGTTTAAAAATATTACGATTTTTTATAAAGTTCATATTTTAGAAGGAACATATATCTATAGATAATAGAAAATATTCGTAAAATAATAATTGGTACATATATATATATATATACACACACACACACACATATATATATACTATATCTATTTTGTATATATATATATAATTGAATTATAGGAATAGATATAATAATACTTGTATTGGTTCTGAAAGAATTAACATAACGAGAATAATACATAGAAAAGGTCTTCAAATTAATATTCTAGACCTTATCTGTTTGAAAGAATGGTTCATTGCTGCTTTGTAACAATGCAGATGACATAAGCATGGTGCATGTGACTCTCTTACAATATACAAAGAATTTCCGTACTATTGAATCTACGCGGAGAATTAAACGGAGAAGATAAATGTTAGATCTAGACTTTTCTAAGAGTAAAACTTAAATAATAGATAAGTAATAATTTATTTTACTTCTTAAAATATCATATAATTTTGGCATTAAATAAAAAACAATGTAGATTATAAATTTAATGTCAAACAAATATGTATAGGATAATTTGCTCATTATAAAACGTTATCGTCTTTGCATATAGACCCACAAGTATGTCATCGCGTACGCGGGAGAAAAATAAAGATCGTTAAATAATGACGTAGTTTATTCTTAAATCTTTAACAGGAAGAAAATATAGAGTAGCTTCTTATCTAGTGTAATGTCAAGAGTTTACAGTATCACATTTTATGCTGTTTGAACAAGTTATCAATATTTAGATATCTTTGTTCTTAAAATGATAAAGATTAAAAAGAAAATATTATTAATATATTTTTAATATTATATAATCTTCTTTAAATTCATTGTTTCGTGAAAACATAGTTAAATTACAAATGTTATAAAAAAATATATTATTTCAAATCTAATACATATTTTATTAATGTATTTTTCATTCAATGATATTCAATGATAACGATATTAAAAAATTTGATCAATGCTACTTGATTGAAAGAAGATAAAGTGAACATTAAATTTAAATCCCTCTGTTTAAACAAGTGGTTTCAAGTCAATTCTTATTTTCTATTGAAAAGCCAGACTCCAAATGAGAATAAATCAACAACATCTTATTTTCATATACATTACAATATGTTCTTTTTTCATAAAATTATACATATTACTAATTAAATATATACTAACAATAAATGTTTGTTATAATGTTATAATAAATTATCCTTTAAATAATAATAATTCAAATAATAGATTTTAGTAATGAATAATATACTTCGAAATGATTACAACTTAATCGAAATATTTTCAGATTCATCAAGTAGCATTATACTTCAATAACAATTTACAAAGTTTATTAAAATTTATTGATAAAAATAATTACTGTTCAATGATGAATTAACATAAATTATTTAAATAACATTATACATACGTATATGTATAATATGAAATTTATGCAATATTAGCTATTCTAAGAAATTCAGATAAATATAATGGTTGAAAACAATAAAATGCTTTAGTAGCTACAACGTAAAACTATTACGTATCAGCTATTTACAAAGTTCAACTGAGATACTTATAGTTCAAAACCTTATTAACTCTCATTCTTATATCATTCTATACGCGCATTAATACGCGAGTAAGCTTAGAAATACCACTAAAGCATAATTCGTTAGAAATATAATATTAATAAATGTTTATATTATAATGAATTTTATATAAAATTTTTAAAAACATTTGTAATTCAGCATCATATTATAAAAATATTATATAATATTAAAAATATATTTGAAGTGTCTGAATATAAATAAATATAGAAAATAAAGCAATCAAGGGAAATATGAAATTATGATTAGCACAATTAATTTATTAAAAAAAATATAATAGGTTTATAATTACAATTCTACTTACATATCAGCTACATTTGCAAATAATACTTTTGGTAGGAAATTTAAAAGAAACACAAATAAAAAAACTCTTCCTCCAAGAGTCATTTTCAACTTCTTTACCACTTAACTGTACTACCGGTAGTCATCAACTGATCTTTGCTTGAAACCAAATGTAAGTACTTGGGTGAGCAAATTTACTGGAAAACAGACACCAGCCAAACATTGGCTCCTACTTACATGCTCTCCTGCTTGGAGAATACACATGCACTGACACATACAAGCAGATGAAATTATTCTACATACACATACTTATTTCGTGTATTTAAAGATTAACATTGTAAACTCTTACGATACATGATTCTTTTAAGTATTATTAAATCTTCAAAATATTAAGTAAGAGAATATAATCCACTTATATAAAGTAATAATTATTTCATATTATAAAATTTTATTACATCATCTTAATATACTAATGTAATTACATTTACATACTCTCTCTAATTTTTTTTTTTTTGAGCACATTTTACTATTTATATCAGCATTATTTATTGCAAATTTAATATTCAAAATAAATTGAAATCAATAAATTTCTATTGTGATAATTTTTTTATCTGCTTTGGTTTACTACATATATTTATAATATTTACATTTATGATATTTAAATTAATATAAAATGTAATAAATATGTACATTGAATCCAAATAGTATGTTTATTTTGGATTTATTTAAGTAACATTTCTTATATTATCTGTACCATTTAATGTAATATGTGGTTTCATTCTATTAACAGTGTAAGTTAATAGATGTAGATCTTGCATAAGACGAGTCAATCTTTTGAAGTGACGTTCTGTATAAGGTATCATGCCTTCAAGAGAAGACAATAGACCTGTAGTTTGAAGATCTTCTATATCCATTTCACTTGTCAATACATGTATAACTGTCTGTAAATTACATAATTATAAAATTTTATGTTTCAGACAAATAAGATAATTATTTTGTATTTTAATTATTGTTGCTTGATATACCTGAGCAGCTTGGGCATTTTTACTGTTAGTATTCCATGTAACCGCACAACGCAATAGAGCTTCCTTACAAGAAGGTGTCAATTCATGTATTGTTTTTTTTAATTCATTATTTTCTCCTTTTAAGATCCCTATATAATTGTAAAGTTAGATTATAAGACTTCTATATAAATTTTTTTTATAATTTAACTATAGTAATTTATCTTTGTGTTTAATCCTCTTTTTTTTTTATTAATACAATTATATATTTTTTATACCTTCTACAATCTTTAAAACTTGTAATGGACGCTCCAATTCCAAAGCTATTTGTAATGCAGTAGATAATTCATTCGCTTGAAGTAAATTTGCTAATTTTTGTTCTTCCAGTATAATTCGTTCTTTTTCTGCAGCAATTTGAGTCTTTTTTTCTTCAGTTACATCTTTCCAAATTACCAATAAAGAATCACTTCCACCACTAATAACATGTTTTTCGTCTTTACTAACTAGATAAAAAAATAAATAAATGAATATAATCAAAGAAAGCTTATACAAATATATATTTAGCAAATATCGAATATGTAAAATAATATAAAATAATCTAACCAACAAGTGCCCATACACGATTCTCATGCTTATCCAAGGTGCAAACACATTCGGATGTTTTAATACTCCAAAGTTTTAAAAGGCCGTCTGCACCTGCGGTAATCAATTGCATACCACGAGACATAAATTCTGCCCTTAAAACAGAGGATTCATGTCCCTGCAAGGTCTAGATAATATAAAAAAAAAATTATATAAACAAGAAATGTTACATAAACATAAATAACATAATGTCTAAACTTTAGGTACCTTTAAACAAGAAAGATCAGACAATGACCATATCTTAATTGTACAATCCGCAGATGTTGTCAGCAATACTTGATCGATTGGCGAAAATCGTACACACCATACACCTCTGCGATGACCGTTAAATACACCAAGTAATTGAAGATCATCAGCAGACCATAACTAAAATATATTCAAAATAGTTAATTATATGGAAGTCATGCTATATTTTAATATGTTACTACCTTGGCAACTTTGTCTTGAGATCCAGTTGCAATGAACTTATCATTTGGTGAAATTGTTACACTGTTAATATCTTTCTGATGTGCTAACACTGTATGAGTTGCATTCACAACAATATGTTCAGCTGTAAATATCAACCTTTGAATAATTTGGTGTGTGTGTGTGTGTGTGTAGTAATATTTTGTTTAAGTAGTGTTACATTAAAATTTTAAATGTTGTTGATCAACTTACATGTAGTTGCCAAATTTTCAGGTAAAGACCAAAGTTTAAGACATGAATCCTGACTGACCGATGCAAAGAATTTTGCTGATAATTGTGAAATAATAACAGAGCCAACAGAAGCTGTATGTCTAATAGCAGAAGCAATACATGTCATTTTAGTTGTTTCCTTATCCATAAACCATATTCGAATACTATTATCCTAACAATAATAATATAAATATAACATATTAGCAATATATACATTCGCATATTAGTAGATTTAATAGATATAGAAAAATGAAAAAAGGAATTAAACTTTCATTACCTTAGCTGAAGATATAAGTAATTGTCTATTGACTGGAGTTGTAGCAAGAGATAAAACGATATCAGTATGACCAGAAAGTAATTGACAATTCATGGAATTGAGTTCATATAATTTTATATCTGAACTATTACTTGCGAGTGCAATATGTGAATCTTCATTTCCAACATAAACAATATCTAATATTTCATCCGTATATCCTACTATCTATAATATATTAAATTTTCTTCATATTAACAAAACATGATAAACAATATGAAAATATTTTGTAAATATATAAAAACATACTTGTTTTGTACATTCAAATGTATTCATAGAATGTATAATTATATTATGATCTGCAGAAACCACAGCAAAGCTATTAATAACTTGATTATAAAGTAGATGCATAATGGAAAGTCCCCCTTCCTCTTTGGCTGCAGATACCAAGGAATTTTGTTGTGCATAACATTTTCTACCAGTGTTCATTTCCCAAATATTTACAGCACCTAAACAATTAGAAATATAAATGTTATTCATTTATTAAATAATGTATAGAAGAAAATATTCAAATGAAAAATATCGAACCTTTTTCTCCGGCACTAGCTACATAAATAGAATCTGCTTCAATTCCATCTGGACAATTTGGAAAAGAAATATTATTTGGTATAATAAAAGCCCCTTCTATTCCTTCATATACTGGTAGAACACGGACTGAAGTTGCAGAAGAAATGTCCCACAAAATTAATACTCTGTCTCTTCCAGAACTGTACATTTTGAAAAGTACATAATTTTAATTTTATAGAAATATGAAAATATACTGTTATACGTTACCTAATTAAGTTGATGCCATTTTGATGAAAACATAGTGATGTTACTTTACTAAAATGTCCAGAAAGGAGAATCTTTTCCTGACCAGTATTAATATCCCAACCATGTATCTTGGTATCGTCGCCTGCTCCAAATAATAATTCTTTTTTAGTATCAGGATGAAATGCTAACACACTGAAATCAATATTCAAAAAATAAACATGTTTAATTAAATAAAATAATAGAAAATAATAGAAATATAGTAATTATATACCTAATAACACCTTGTATTCCTTTGATATTTTGTGTGCAAGCATGATGTTGTAAATCCCACAACCTAATACTACCATCGCTTCCCCCCGAAGCCATCAAATTTTTTTTATTTAAAAAAGAAATCTTTACAACTGGTCCTTTATGAATAGATTTCCATATTTTTATTAATTTATTTTCTAAAATAATATAAGATTCATAAGAAGATAATATCAAGATGAATTTATTTATAAGAGTACACAAATAAAATAATAAAAATATTATTTTTAAAATACCTTTCCAATTCCATAACTTAAATAGACTACTTTTACAGTGAGCTAGTATATGCAAATTGTCATCGCTGACAGCAAAACAATGGATTGTATCCTCATCTTGCTCTTGTTCTTCCTCTGTTGCTCCCAAAGATTGAATCACAGTACCTGTATCTATTGATAACACAGATATAACTCCGCATTTTTGGCAAAATATGTGTTTTCCGTCAATATTCCACTATAAACACAATAACGATATATATTTTTTGTAATTTTCACAATTATTAAAACTAATTACAATGAAAGTTTTTATAACATACATAAATATCACCTCCTGTGTAAAAAGCACCATACACAGATTCTACTTCAAAACTGGAAATAAACAATAATATTTTTTAGGTTATAAAGAAGGAAGAATTATAAAAAGCATCAGTAATCACAAATAATATAACTTACTCTTCCTTTAAAATATTTTTGCTCATTGTTATATTAAAAAAAAAGAAAAGAATAAACAATATAAAATCTTAGGAGATTATAGTTTTTGCTTATGGGTTATTTTAATATGTTAAATTTAAATGTGATGCCTTAGATTGTACACTTAAATTAACCACGTGCACGTATTGATGTTAGACTCATGTGGTAAGATTTTTAGTACAGAATATCATCGCTAGAGAGCCCATCAATAACTGTGCATTGACTTACATATAAATAAATATATTTCATATACAATTTTAGCTAAGTTTACAATTTTATTTAACGTAATTATTTTTATTACACAAAGTAAATTGCCGATCATAATTTATGTATAAGTAAAATTCATAGAAAGCAAAATGTTCGGTCTCTTAATTAAGCAATGCATGCGGAGATCGGCTTATAGAATAAATAATGTTAAGATTGATATAAAATTCTTATGTCAGGTTCCAATAAAAGAAAAACAAACTCTACAACAGACTTCTACAATCAATGATAAAAATTTAACAGAATCGAAGTATCCTGAATATGAAATAATCTATAGATTTTCTTATATAAAATTTGTAAGTTTTTATCATATATCTAAACGAAATATGTTAATAGGCAATGGTGTAATAATACCACTAATGGCTTTATTATCTCAAGGAAGCATAATATCTGAAGTATTTGCTACTTTTGTATCAATTGTAGGTAAGTTTTAATTATAATAAAAAGTAATTCCAACATTTGGATTTTTATTTCAAGTAAAAAATGCTCTTTTCTTATATAGTAAGTGGATTTACATTGTCACTGTACTTGACTGGAACACTTTTTACCAATCAAATTGGTATTATATATTTTAAAGATAATGAATCTATAAAAATTGCATATGTGAATAAATGGGGCAAAAGAATAGACATAGATACTTCGATTAATGAAATTAAACCACTTCAAAGCGTTTCTTCTTCAATAGGAAATAAACATTTTAAAAAAATATATATTAAATCACTTAAATATCCACTCAAACTATATGTAAACTTCAGTATAATTAATAATAAAGAACAACTAACAAACATATTAGGTGATTATGAATAATATCTATATATTTAGACTTTAAAGTTAATGATTTAATGTACATATTATAATATCCAAATATATCTAATTAAACAAAATATTTTATTTTTATTATTGCTTCAACCATCTAAAGTGAGCATAAGCACGATTCGCATCACATTCCTTGTGCAAATCATGCTTTCTTACAATAACACGACCCTGTAATAAAAAGATAGAAATAAGAAAGAGATAATAAATAGTACTTAAATAAATTCTTGTAGGAATTATTTATAACATATGATAGTAAAAGAAATACACATAATATAAAAATTATATTAAAGAAAATTGATACTAACCCGTTTATGAAAAGCATCTATAAACTCTTTTGCTAATTGTTGGGGAAAATGTACAGATTTATCTTTACTTTTTGCTGCTTGTATTAACCAATTCATTGCCATAAATTTAGCTCTATTTTCACTTACTGCTACAGGAATCTAAAATATAATTAATTATTATTACCTCGTAGTTTCTTATAACAATATATAAAAACAAAAGAATAACAAATTTATATAAATTACCTTATAATTTATACCACCTTTTCTATGATTCTTTAATTCTAAAATTGGTGTAACATTCTCAATAGCCTTACTAAAAATTACTTTTGGATCTAATTCAATATTATTTTTTTGACTAGGATCAGCTTTATGATAATGCTGTAATTGCATTAATTTAATAGCTTCAAAAGTTTCTTCCAGTAACGATCTTGCTAATTTTTTATCTCCTTTTCTCATAATATAATTTGTAAATTGACTATAACAGAGAATAAAATGAGGGATTAAAAAATTATATAGAATTATTATAAACATAGAAAAAAATAACTCTTGTATAATGTAAAATATTGTGATGAAAGCACTTACTTTACCATATTATCATAAAATACTGAACATGTATCCGTGGTTGTTGCTGGTTTAATAGATTTATTAACAATTTCTTTTATTTCGTTTGATACACGTAAATTTTGTTGTTCTTCCTTATTATATATTGGTTTAATATAACGAAGTGGAAATACACTATAATATCTAATAAAATAAAATTTTAAGCTATTATATAGAAGAAAAATAAATAAAGCATATTTTTTCTTTGAATATATTTACATATATCCTATATAATTTTAACTATAGCATATATACTTGGATATATCATACAAACAAAATATAAATAATATTAAAAGTATGCCATACATTAATATACCTTTGATCTTTACATAAATTTAATAAATTAATTGTTTTTGTAACAAATAAACGTAAATTTGACATAATTATATGTATATATTGGCCTCAAACAATTTTATTAGATATATAATTAACAGTTCGATAATATTCTGTATTATTCTTAAATGACCATCGAATATTAAGATTTCTCGTTTAATTATAAATATTTTAAAATATTCCACATTGACGATATTATATATCCTTTTAATTTTACACAGATAAGAAAGTGTAGAATTAAATTCTTCACATGTAGAGGACGCAATGAATCTATCGATTGTTGCGTCAAAAAATCTCGATTGGAATCTTCATTTGAGAGATCAAGGCAAAAGAAAAGCACAAGGTATATTTTTTTGTTTACAATAAAATTTATTACAACAATAAAAATTACACTTTGCTATATTACCAGAAATGCTTATTCTCTAAATTCTACCTAAGTACTAACAAATATTTAAAAGATACAAAGCTTTTTTTGTTTCGTTATCTAGGAACTTTTATTTGCAATCGAACTGATGTATGTAGGCTTAAAGCGACCTCACGTGGATGTATGAAGTACATTCGTTTGCAAAACTGTTTAAAGTATATATATCTGACAAGTTTATAAAATAAAGACGTTTTTATAAATTTATAAATGTTAATTTATTTTTAAATCATAATAATAAAAAGTAATTTACAAAAATGGATGAAGGCAAAGCTCTTAATATTTGTGTACCTGGTAAATGAACAGTTTTTTATTTTATATACAAAGGAAAATTTTCAATACCGTTTAGTTTTTAATTATTTCCATAAACTCACATAAATTTGTTGTCATAATAATGATCGTTTTAGGACAAAGATTGTGTGCTTCTGATAAAGTTATTATATCAGGAGCTGGAACATATGAAGAACGAGGTTATATTTACTCTAAAATAGTTGGTGTTGTTAAATTTATTATGGAAGAAAATGTATGTATAAAAATGATTTGACCTTTTAATTTTATTCTTTTTAACATTACAATTTATGCTGCTTTTTTTTTTTAGACACGTACTATCGAGGTGCATGGTATTACAGAACAAAGTATAGTACCAGCACCAGGCGATATTGTTACTGCAATGGTTACCATTGTTAATCAAAGATTTTGTAAGTGTAGTATTAAATGTATAGGCGACGTAGTATTGACAAGACCATACAGAGGAATTTTAAGGAAAGAGGATGTACGTGCCATTGACAAGGATAGGGTGGAAATGTATAAATCTTATCGACCTGGAGATATTATTCTTGCAAGAGTTGTATCCTTCTATAAAAATTTAACATTTCTAATTACATAGCTATATAACTATATATTATTTTTTATATATTAATTAGTTACCAATGACAGAAGCACATACTTATCAACTTAGTACAGCAGAGAATGAATTAGGAGTAGTGATAGCCCATAGTGAAGAAGGTAGTTTTATCATTTTTTATTCACAAAAATATACTTATTTTAGTATTCTATATAGATTTTTTTATAAACTTTCAGGTGTAGCAATGATACCCATAAGTTGGACCCAAATGCAATGTCCAAAGACATTATACAAAGAATATAGAAAAGTTGCCAAAGTTGTTCCTGAACATATTATAGCAGAATATTAAAATAAAATTTATTATATACGAATAAGATTTTTTCATTCTACCTATAAAAATTAATGTTAAATGGAATCAAAGATAAATAAATAAATATATTGAAAAAAATTTCTTATTTAAAAACTTTATTTCAAAATGATATATAAAGATTATAGGGAATTTCGAACAATTATTCCAAGTAAAAATTCTCTAAATTAATAAAATTCTATTGGAAAAATTTCAATCAAATTTAAATCTTTTCTTAAAATTTTAAAACTTCCATTGAGAAATACTAGAACATAACATATTTGGAAAATGAACTTTGGTTGAATATGATTGAATAGTGAAGACGTCCATCTTAGATGTTTTTATTGACATTCATTTTATAATGAATACAGACCTAAAATATAATTTACAAAAATACTAAATTTGATATAACTTATTTAACAATATTTCATTACTGTTTGTCCAATAAATAATAATATAGCTAATATTATACGATAAATTAAAAATTTGCATATGCAATAATTTAATAATTTTTGTTTATATATATATATGAATTATATTCTAATGTATACGATTATATTATTTTATGTAATATATCAAATTTATATCAATAATGTTATAACAAATATTAAAACAAGTTTTCTATCTTTGTACAACTTTTTAGTTAATGGCTGCCATTTCTGACACATACTTACTTCGTCCATCTGAGCCTTTCGAAAAATCTCAAGTCATTCGATTTCCTGTATACCTGATTGAATTATTTTCGTGTAAAGTTTGTTGAGGATAATGGAAGAAATTGGAATTGTTTTGCCGGACAAAGTAAATACGTCTTATTATTATTATTTTATTTTATATTCTTCAAAGAAGGAGAATTAAAAGCCAAATAAATTATTAATAGTTTTTTCATGTGGTTGCTCATAACCTCGATTAAGAACAATATTCACTTTTGGTTTATATTCTTTTTTTCTGATCTTTTTCCTGTTTCTATTAATTTAGGATGTTACTGAAATCGATTCTAAACCAGCAATTGGTCATTATACGGGAGCTGGCGATGAATTAGATGTCGAAGATTTATATACCAAGTACAAGGCAAGAAACAGATAAATATTCTTATTAGATTTAATTATTCCTATATACACAATTGTTATTATATATTTTTAACAGAAATTGCAAAGAATGTTAGAATTTCTGGAGGTACAAGAAGAATATATTAAGGATGAACAAAGAAATTTAAAGAAAGAATATTTACATGCGCAAGAGGAAGTCAAACGTATACAGAGTGTACCTTTGGTCATAGGACAATTTTTAGAAGCTGTAGATCAGAACACTGGAATAGTGGGATCGACGACAGGTTCAAATTATTATGTCAGAATTTTATCTACGATAGATAGAGAACTGTTGAAGCCTTCTGCGAGTGTAGCACTTCATAAGCATAGTAATGCTTTGGTTGATGTTCTTCCACCAGAAGCTGATTCAAGTATCTCGATGCTTCAAGCAGGTGATATTCGCTTATATATAGATATTTGCAAAGATACAAAAGTGAATTTTATTAATTTTTTTTTGCACATTTATGCTTTATATAGATGAGAAACCAGATATTCAATATAGTGATATAGGTGGAATGGATATGCAGAAACAAGAAATTAGAGAAGCAGTGGAATTACCACTGACACATTTTGAATTGTATAAACAAATTGGCATTGACCCACCTAGAGGTGTGTTGATGTATGGTCCACCAGGATGTGGAAAAACTATGCTTGCAAAAGCAGTTGCAAGACATACTACAGGTATTAATCTTACTGTATATTAGCAAAAATTTAACTATATAATTTAAATTAATACAAATTGTTTCATCATATAGCCGCATTTATACGTGTGGTTGGCTCTGAATTCGTACAGAAATATTTAGGAGAAGGACCAAGAATGGTCAGAGATGTCTTCCGTTTAGCTAAGGAGAATTCTCCTGCTATAATTTTTGTTGATGAGATTGATGCTATAGCTACAAAAAGATTTGATGCACAAACTGGAGCAGATCGTGAAGTACAGCGTATCCTTTTAGAACTACTCAATCAAATGGATGGTTTTGATCAAACTACTAATGTGAAAGTTATAATGGCTACTAATAGGTAAAGTAAATGCAATGCAGTCTTCAAGTGTGTATTCGTAGTTTTAATTATAGATTATTTTATCTATATTTAATTCAATTTTACTTTCTTTCAGAGCTGACACTTTAGATCCAGCATTATTGCGTCCTGGTAGATTAGATCGTAAGATTGAATTTCCTCTACCGGATCGTCGGCAGAAACGTCTGATATTTTCTACAATTACAGCAAAAATGAATTTGAGCGAAGAAGTAGATCTTGAAGATTACGTAGCTCGACCGGATAGAATTTCAGGTGCTGATATAAATGCCATTTGCCAAGAAGCTGGTATGCATGCGGTTCGAGAAAATCGCTATATAGTATTGGCAAAGGACTTTGAGAAAGGTTACAAGAATAATATTAAAAAAGATGAGTCTGAGCATGAATTTTACAAGTAGAATGGAAAGATTAATTACGTTTTATGCTCATACTTTATGTTATAATATGTATTTGCAAATTCATGTATCGCTATAAATGTAGTACTCAATATATCTATACAAAATTATCATTTTCTATTGCATATATGTGTATATATATATATATACACGCATACACCTTAACACATAACCTTTTAAGTACTTTTATATTTCTATGTTCATAATTATTCATCCTTTTTACCATTTAATCTCATTCTTATAATCAGATAAATACGAACGAATCATGAAAATTATAATGTTGGTTCTACAGGCCAAAAAATGCTTTTTTATAGCATGTTATATATTGGGTATATTTATAGAATATGGCGTTTAGTTGTTTCTGAAGAGAGCGGTTTATTTATATTTATCGTTACGATTAGTTTATGGCATAAATATGAATTTATTTTAATTCATGTATCTTTAAACTGTGTTCGAATATTTTTCGAAAATAATGATTATAAACTAAGTTATAAAGTGATTAGGATTGTAGTATTTGATTCGGCGTTTCTAACTTAACCTTCAAGGGTAGATTTTGGTAGATTATTATGCAGTTATACTTGCAAAAATGCCTTTATTTTCAAATAAATTTTCTCCAAAGAAAACACCAACGAGAAAAGCGCCAACATTTTTAATGAATAAAGATTTAAGTCCTAAGAGAATAGAAAAAGAATTAGGTCCTGACATAGGATCTATTCGTATAAGACTTGGAGACCAAGAAACAGTTTTCGAAAATGGCTCATGGATACCAGGTACAGAAACTATATTATTCTATTATTATTTCTATATATTTATTGTTATTTTCATAGAATCCGGAAAAGTAAGTGGTACATTTAAAGAAAATGAAAGACTGAAAAAAGAAATTAAAAGACTTGAAGAAGAAAACAATTTATTA